TATGAAATCAGAAGAGTGAACGACTTCGATATTGGGGGAAAAAAGAAACTATCTCTTCCGCTTACTCCTTGCAAACCTGGAGGATTCACCCATTGTTTCCAATTGTTCCAGCTCGCCCTGCATCCATCATATCACAATCAATCTTCTTCAGGTAACAAAACCTCGCTAAAAATGGATAATAGACCAAAGAAGGGAACAGAGAGAGAGAGAGAGACGGGTTAACCTCAATTATATTGATTTCGTTATTGAGCTGGGAAATGGCAGCTTGCAACCTATGCTTGCCGACGAAGGCTGGCAGTGACTCGGCTCCTCTTGGCTGAGTACTGGTTGTTGCAGCCTGTTGTCGGTAATTATCTGTAATTCCTCCATTTTCTGCTTTCGATCCTTCTGCAAGTGGCTGCACAATCCCATCGTCCATGGCTCAGCTTCAATTCCGTGATCAAATCCTCAAAGAAACTTACAAACCCATCAAGCTATAATAAGCATTTAACATTCAGAATCATCATCAGAAGAAGAAAGGAGGAACATGGCCAAAAGTGGGAGTGGACCAGAAGATATAATATAACGAAATGATGGAGGCAGAAGGGGGAAGAAGTAAAAGGAGGGGTCCGGTGATGACAATGAGGCGTGAAGAGTGGAATATAGGAAGTAGTAAATTGTGGGTTTTGTGCTGAAAGATTCCCAGTGAGAGAGAGAGGAGGAGGGATTGGGATTGGTTGGTCAAAAAGAAGAAAATGGGCAGTAAGATGTGGACAGTGGACAGCAAGCAATTGCCAGCCACAGCAGCGACAAGGACGCGGCAAGGCAAGTTTTAGGGAATGTGAGTCCCTAGTTTACACGTATTTAGGTATTGAACAATCCATTTCTTTGAAAAGTATTAATGGATGTCCTCGTTGGATAGATGGGCAGTTGTAAATTTTTGTCAATTTCGTCAAATGGTAAAGATTAAAAATAATAATTTAGATTTGATTTTTAATATAAAAGATTTATTTACAAAGGTGTTTTTAATTTTTTATATGCGATAAATAAATAAATTTGAGTCAACGAATATAAATTTTCTTTCCCGACAAACTTAGAAATAAAAATTATATTATCAACTCCCAGATTCTTTACATGGATAGACTTTTATGGGGAAGAGAGAAAGGTGAGGTGAGGTTAATCTCATTTTCATTAAACGACAGAAAACCTGCTTTCATGATCCTAGTCTCGCTCCTACTTTGCATCCATGTCTTGGGAATAGTTTTTTTAGTAGTTTTTTGGCAAAATTTGTCTGTTGAATTAGTGCTTTTATTATTGATAAGTCAATAGGAGGTGGATTGGTGATTAAAAGATATAGATGTTATTCTAGATGTTAACAAAATAAAATATAGCCGACTATATGAATTCATCGTTAACTTAAATAAGAGTCTAAAATGGCAGCTCTATAATTATTTTCCTTTCAAAGTAATCAAAAAAAAAAAAGAAGAACAGATAAACATCATTCTTTTCTTTTTATTGTTTTTTCGGACCAAGATCATTTTGCATATCTCAACCAGAGTGTCTATGACGTACGTAAATTGGTCTTTTTCATTTTTTTTGTTTCATTTTTCCGTAACCTTACAATCTCCCATTTGGGCTACGTCCTTTAACTCCAAGCCCAATGGATCACAAAACAAAGCCCAATATAGCTCCAGATCCATACACTACATTAATTTGCAGTGCCCCATTTCCTCCAGGTGGAGCTGAGGTGGGGGGGGGGTGCGAAACTAGAATGTTTACAAAAATGGCAGCGGCTCCGAAGATAACGGTTGCCGCTAAATTCGTATGCCGCCTCCGAGATATTACTGTTCGTACCACCAATTCTTATCCTTCTGTCACTGTTTCTCCTAGCATCTCGCTGAGGTCCATTACTAGTACTAGTACTTCCCATAAGAAGAAGAAGAAGAAGAACCAGAAGTTAGCGCCGGTGGTTGCGGCACAGAAATCGGCGGCGGCGGGTTTGGTGAAGGAAAAGAGGAGGACGCGTTCTGACAAGGAATTCGACAAGGAATCGATTCTGCGATATGGAGATAACCCCTCTCATATTCCTGTGATGCTCGCTGAAGTGCTGGACGTCTTCTCATCTACTTGTTGGAGACCTTTACACTCTTTTGTCGATTGCACGCTCGGAGCCGGTGGCCATTCCTCTGCTGTTAGTCATTCATTCTCCCTTCACTTTCCCGCCGTCAAATGTTTTCTGTTTGCTGTGAATTAATTGGAAATCTGATTGTGTCTACACTAGTCATGCACGGTCTATTTGGGTGCTTGGACCTGTGGTATTATGATTTTGTTGCTAATGTAGTTTGAGTTTCTCGAACTGGAAGAGTTTGGCTTTGCTAATTTTCTGTACTCATTGAAAACAACAGATAATTAATGCTCATCCAGAGTTGAAGTTTTTTGTTGGCATGGACGTAGATCCTGTGGCACATGAGAAGGCTCAAAAACGAATTAATTCCGTCTTGCATTCTGACTCAGACTCTGGTAAATCTGCTTTTGACCTGAAAGTGTACCACTCGTTAAAAAATTTTCGACATATCAAGTCTGCACTAAGTGAAACTGGCGAGGAACGCTTGGACCGTGGAGTTGATGGCATTTTGATGGACTTGGGAATGTCATCCATGCAGGTTAACTTCTATACTTATCTCACCAGACTTCTTACCATGTTTTTGTTCTAGTATTTCTTTTCTACTCTTTATTTTCCGGGTGCTGTAGAGGGGGGTAGATAAGTATTGTATTAGCCGGTTGTAGCAATGCATAGTGGCTATATTAGCGAAATCCACGTCTTTATTGGTACTGCTACATCAGTTTCCTATTCCTACAACTTTGTCGTTAGAGTATGGCAGCAAGATTAGCAACTGAATATTTGGATCAAGGCATGATTTGTGTGAATTGTTTCATGCTTTTTTCTTTTTAATATTATTGTTGTTTCTGTTTTTCATTATAGGTGGACAATCCTCAGAGAGGATTCAGCGTGCTAAGTGCTGGACCACTTGACATGCGGATGGACCCTCAGGTATAATCACGGATAATTTTGGAGTTCAATGTTATATCTTTACTGCTGATTTTTGGCTTGAGTGGTAATTTATTTTTATTAGAGTACATCTATACGTGCAAATGGATGAATTAAAAGTACGGAAATGGCATTCTTGTTTGACATTTTCCTAGAATACCTTTGTTAATCATGAATATTAGCTAGAACTACTATTTGATAAAATCTTTAACATGTGCAACTACTATAAGGATTATTTAGAAAAAAATGGATAAATATGATAGACAAAGTGGATTGGGGTCTTATATTTAGATCCAAATTAAAAGTCAAACTAGCGCTTATATTAAGGATTGGAAGTAGTAGTTATCACTATTAGAGAATAAGTGAAACTGACTTGTTTCTTGCCTTATTCTTCTCCTCTTGTGGTTAAAATATTTCACTATCAATTTAACTGATAATAGCTCATGCACTGTGCTTTATTAAAGGAGTGCGTCTCGGCCAAAGGTCAATGGGCAAAGATGGAATATCTCTTATATTAGGGACTTAAGGTAGTATCTAGTTATTCAAACCTCAGAAAGGACATTGAAGTAGTGTGTTTTGTGAGACATTTGAGATTGAGAATTATTCAGATGGGCCAACTTAATCCATATGGCTTTTTCTTGGGAATAAATGTTATAGATGTTTACCAATGGGGTTGAGTTTAGTGAAAGGAGCTAATTCCTCACAACATGGCAAACAAAACTTCTAATTCTGGTTGGGAAAATTTCCCGATAGTGCCTTGAACATTATCCCCTTCAAATTTCAATAAGAGGATACTTATGCCTAGCCAAAAAAAAAAAAAAAAGAACTATAGATGTATGGCTTTACTAGTTACCTGGGGATCTATTTGAGGCTTTTCTCTGTTGCAAAATCCTCTTTGCTGGTCTTGTTTTCTGTTTTCTTTTTGGCCCGCTAAAATGCTGTCAGTGTTAATTCACTCAGAGATTGCAAAGTTTGCTTTGGGAATCATGTTTCTGTTGCTTGGTTGCTTCATTATCATTCTTAATTTTTCATTCCCATTTGAACTGATGGGCAGGCCAATGACAGGCAAGTCTTCAAGCCGAAGACATATTAAATTCCTGGCCATCTACTGAAGTGGGCCGTATACTGCGAGAATATGGGGAAGAAAGCAATTGGCGAAATTTGCAAAATAAGATTGTTGAAGCCCGATTACATGGTGGATTGCATTCTACCAGTGATTTGGTAGATCTTATTAAGCGCATGTCTCATCCAATGAAAGGTAGGTCCTTATGCAGTTCTATTTTTCTATTTGTAGAACCATGTGTTCCATTGTTTTTCTTAATGCTTGTGTTCCATTAATTAATTAATTAGGAGGTATGTATTATTGTCTGTTCTTGGGACGATGAAAACAGTTAGTAGCTATACATTGCTACTTCTCTTGTCAACTTCACGAGATCTTTCCATATGTAGATTCATTCATACATTCAGTTTGCACTTTGCGGACAATTTATTAGTGTTCTCATGGCAAACACTGATGTGTTTGAATGTAATGAATAGGTGGAAGACAAGGTTGGATAAAGACAGCAACCCGGGTATTTCAAGCTCTGAGAATCGCGGTTAACGACGAACTGAACACCCTGAAAGATTCCCTAAATTCTTGCTTTGAATGCCTCGCACCTGGAGGTAGGCTTGCAGTCATATCTTTCCACAGTCTGGAGGACAGAATTGTGAAGCAAACGTTTCTTGATATTATTAAAGAGAAGGCCAATGATATAGACGAAGGGGAGAACAACAACAATGATTCAAGAGGCATCAGAAGTAAGATTGAAGAGAATGAAACATGGATAAGGCATACAGTACATGGATCAAAGGGAACAATTTTAACGAAAAGGCCAATCACGCCATCGGGAGAGGAAGAAAAATTGAACCGCCGAAGCAGGAGTGCCAAGCTCAGGGTAATTCAGAAGCTCTGAGGAAAATGTGACAAATTGTAATTGTATTTATAAATGCTTCTTTCATATTGATTTTTATATACCATCCTCAGCGGCATATATGCATCCCGAGAAGCTATTCCTAAAACTATTAAAGTATTTCTATTGGAATCAACACAGAAGTATCAGATTGGATGCATTCAATTTGAATCTCTTTCACACCTCTCTTTTTAATTTTGTTGTAAATTAATAAATAAATTGTTTTAAAAAATATACTCTGTTATAATTATGCATATACTACCTCCAGTCCTTAATATGAGACTTTTTTTTGTTTTTATTTTGATCTCAAATATAAGATTTCAATCCAGTTTGTCTCTCGTATTTATGTATTTTTTGTCAAGATAATTCTTCTAACAATAATAGTTCTAGCCAATACATTTAATTAGTAAGGATATTTTAAGAAAGACAACACTTATTTATTACAAATAACCAACTTAACTTATTTTTTAAATTTTTTTTTAAATTAGTTAATTAATTCTTACTAGAAGTATTTCAAAACACACCTTGACGTTTGAAATTTATATCTTTAAATCTCTCACAAATCCCTCGCTGTAACTGTTTGCTGGGGAAGAAACAAGATAAGCTGGAAATCCATTTAGTATTTATTTGGAGCCTTTTATTTTTAATTGCAATTTTGCCCGTCTCATGCACTGTAACATCGTTGGCAAAAAGAAATCAAAATGAACGATTTAAATTTATAGAATTACAAAGTAATTATAATTAAAAGTTCTTGCAATTATAAATAGCTTGTTTTACAATGATATCCCTAAAGATGGAGACCCTCTGGATAACAAAGAAAACGAATCCAATATTTAATAACATTTTCATTTGTTATAAACCCAGTCTATAATCTATAAGGACAATAAATACAAAGGATTCTAGAAGGGAGAAAAAAACACAACTGGGAGATGCTACTGATAGAGGCCCCAGATTATGGCACCTGGCAGTTACTTTGCCGTTACCTATATTTTCGTTGATGAGGATCAGCTTCGAGTCCACACATGAGCTGAGAGTGAGAACGGCAATTGACGCTGCGGCTTCACATCACAGCGGCATTTCGGCAGCTTGAGATCAACTTTAGCAGCTAATAACTGATCGAATTACTTCATCTTCGTTCTCAGCCACTTCCGCCTCACAGTAATTATCAGAATTTGGTAGTCCATATTATAAGAAAACTTCTCTCTTTGTTTCGGATAAATGCGTCATTTTCTTGTTCGCTTTTCCTTCGTGATTTTCTGTGTTCTGACTTAATGTCGTGCTTCCAGAGATTGTAATCAAAATCATGATATATGCGAAGACGTATGGTCGTGGACAAGGCTGGTTCACATATTTATCCTCCTCCATCCCTACATTTAGTCCTCGGTATTTAATCTGTTTATAGTGTGATAAAAGACAGAAGTAATAGCTGTTGGTCAGTGAACAAAAAGCTAAATAAACCTACTTTGGATTTAGAATACAGGCTAAATCAGGATCTTTGCTATAAGAACACTCCTCCTTTGAAATGTTATCCAAACAGAACTGTTGGTGTTGCAATTTCTGCTTTATGAACCCAATGGAACAGCCATTTTCTTTTTCTGTACAATCGCAAGCCTAAATTTTGTGATCTTTGGTGATTTGCTTCCTTCTGTTCTAAATTTGAATTTCAGGAAGAAAATGGAGATCAAGGTAAGCGAAATGACTTCCTCCGATTCAAATGCAAAGAAGGCAAATTTATATGCTGCCAAAAAGGAAAGAGTTAAGCTTCCAACATATAGTGGTGGTCTGCAAGGCACAGGATACCACTTTAGTGAATTTCTAAGGCATCCCAGTGGAATAGAAGCAATGTTGAACACGAGGGCCTTGCAATCTTTTAATTGTCTTGACGCAAACACTTACAGGTATTCCACATCTTTAATTCTTCTTTACTGGCTTCATTGATCCTTTTAGATAGGTTCAGGAGCACCCCCGTTGATAATGGATTTACGTTGCATCCATGTGTATGAAGTTCGTGTTTCATCTAAGGCATTGATTTTTGGCCAAAAAAAAAAACTAAAGCATTGATTGAGTTCGGCAGTCTAGTGGTTTAGACAGTAAATTTCTATTTTGGTGAATAATTATGTTATGCTTATTTCTGCAGGTGTACTTTGCCTAAACTTCAACTTCTGAACTTTGAGGCCGTTCCTTTGCTGGATCTGCGGGTAACGCCAACAAATGAAGATTGTGTCGTGGAGATGCTTTCCTGTAAGGTATGATGTACTAGGATGAATTTGCTCCATACAGGTTGCACTTTAGAGTGAAATGCATGTGGGCCGCGTTAAAAAAATTATTTAAAAAGAAAAAAGAAAAAAAGACACTGGTTTTGAGTGCACGTCCTTTTACAAATAGCAAGGCAGCCTAATGCAGTTTCGAGAAATCCTAGTTAGTTCTAAGAACAAAAAAGCAGATGGATTGAACATGCGCCTGATGGATTTACATTTCACTTTGTGGGATACTTCACTATTTTACAGTTTGAGGGTTCAGAAGTTGTGGAGCGCCAGAACAACCACTTCTCAGGTAACAGTACATGTTTTTCTGAATGCGGAAGACAAATGGTAGAGGAAATGATTTTACTTTGGTTTACAAGCTCTGCAAAATCGATGAATTAAAATCATAAAACACGTTTATTTTCTAGAGATCCTTGCACAAACAACCAGCTCCTTCTGTGACCTATTGATCTGTCTTCTCTAACATAAGGGAAAAAGCCATTGTTCAGCACTGTTTTCTGCTTAATTTATGTTTGTCTGCATAGCTGATACCACTTTTTTTTTTTTTAATTTTCTCTTGACTCCATCAATGTGCAAATGTTCATTAATCTTAACTCTGGATTTGCAGCATTCATGATAAATCACATGACATGGGGCATGGATGACGCTGAATCATTTCTAGAAGTTGATGTTAAGTTGAATATCACTCTTGAGGTTGTTCTTATCCTGATGAAAGATATACTAGTGAAGTATTCTGTGTTCTATCCATATCCACTTATCTTTTCTTTTAACACATTACTGGAGAACAGAAGGGAGATGGTCTCATATGTTATCATGGTGGAATTTCACATCACAGGGCACAAACTGCCTTAATTGGACAAAGCCCTCTTGAAGTCTATAAATACCATTGGTAGAGGAATATAAATTTAGTAGTGTGGACAAGAGGAATTGTTTTACTTTAAGAGATCCCATTGTCTAGAGATGCTGTCTACCCCAAAAACTTGAGGCAGACATGAACCAAGTCACAGAAGGAGGGTGGGAATTAAAGTAAAAAAAACACTTGATGGCTGGTCCTTAGAAAAAATTAAAAGTTAATCCTGTTTTATCAATGGAAAGTACCAGATTGATTGTGGGAATACAAAAGTCAGATGAATAGGAGGTTCTCTCGAAACTTTCTATAGATCATGCTAGGAATTGAGGATCGGGTGACCTCTTAGGACCTAAGTGATGTTTGCCTCTCCCTGTGCAGGTTTCACAAATTGACTACTTTCGAAAGTTGGTCGTCTTCTCCTTATTTTCAGTTCTTAGCAGTATATAGTTACATAACGTAATTGAACTGAATTTTTTTCCCCCCAAAAACAAACAGGAGTTATTACTATATTTCTACACAGTAAACTAATCTCCCATTTGCTTCCCGCCTTCCTCACAACTTTTGACTGACAGATCTACACACGTCCATTCACCATGATGCCTAAAGCAGCTGTTGAGCGTCCTGGAACTATGTGAGTCAACAATGTCTTAGTTATGGGTTTCCTTAGGTTCATATTCTTTTATTAACAGCTCCTTTCTAAGCACTGTGATATACTCCTCCTCCTCCTCCTCCTCCTCCTCCAGTCTTAAATGTAAAACCTAATTAAGGAGTTAATATTGATCCTATATATAAAACCAATTTCGCATATTTATTGATTTTTTTCCAAATTAACCCTATAGATATTCCCCCAACAAGGAAGGGATGGAATTAAAAAAGATACTTAGAGTATTTTAAAAAAGAACATATCACATTAACTAATTTAGTTAACATCTTTAATCTGTTCAAATTAGTTACTTAAGTCTTACATTAAAGACTGGAGGAGTATTTTCTTTAGAGTATGCGCTATAATATGAAAGGAACTCCATAATCTATATACTTCCTAAATCTTGCATAATTGCAATTTTTTCAGCTTCTTATGCCTTCAAACACTTGTATTTCTGTGTGGATACGTGCAGAATGATGCAAGCATTGGTAGACAATCTCGTGCCACTACTAATTCAGCAGCTGTTACGAGATTATGATGAATGGGTTCAAAAGCAATTGAAAAATATCCCATAAATGAGGGTACTAATCTCATGATAAACTGGTGAGAGATCGTTTCATTGATATGACAATTGATTCATTTTGTTTAGATCTGTCCAGTAACCAAGGCCAGAAATTCCTTCATTTTGTTCTTTCTTCAGGGCAAGGCACCATATATCCGCAATCACCCAAAAGGTACAGTTCCCATCACCTGACTACACAAACATCACATCTGGCTTCGCCGTTGGTCCAACTGGTCACCTTGTGCTATGATACTTGTTAATCTTTCATTCATCAATTCAGCCCAGAAAAGGTAACATATCACATTTTTTTAACCTGGACGAACTGCAAGTAAAATTTAAATTTGCTTGTAACGCGAAAGAAAGCATGTATAGTATACACTCCCGAAGACAGTGATGTATTTCGGCCGAAAACAAAGGACAATAATGTAAATGTATTGGGCTCTGATAAGACTAAGAAAAGCTGTTCCCATGACGAGCCCACACTTTGGTCTGGGCTTGACGGTCTGCCAGTTATTTATTGTCTCCGGTCCTTAATATAAGGTCTCGTTTGATTTTTATTTTGATCCTAAATATAAGATTTCAATCCACTTTATCTCTTATATTTATCTATTTTTTTTCAAGATAGTATTTGTAATAATAGTAATTCTAACCAATGTACTTGATCAATAAATATATTTTAGAAAAGACAACACATATTTATTACAACTAATTAACTTAATTAGTTTTCTTAATCTACTCAAATTAATGAACGAGCTCTTGTATTAAGGATCGAAAGTGGTACTTACCAACGTCCAAGTTGGCTTGCCTAAGAGTTGAAGCTAGGTCTGGTTTGCTTGGAATGATTTAAAAGAGAGATTAACTATAAAATGTAGACTTTGTTTATCTTTTTATTATCTTTTTTATATTTTACAAAAAAATATGAGGTGATTTTTCATCACAACTTTATTTTCTTTTTATTTGAATATCCAACTCTATTATATTGGACATGATCTGAAAATTTACGTGCTCATGTTAACCAAAATCCCTTTTTAAACAAACCCATGTTTTAGGAAGTAGACATGTAAAAGATACGACAACATTCAAACCGGGATTAATAATTAATATCAATACTAATACAATGGTGAGATATTCAAAAATCCTAAATAATTTCTTTTTTGGATTCTGAACAAGTGCATGAGAAAAATACTTAAAAAAATATAAAGACGAGTGGAAAAAGTCTACATAAACTTCAGATTCTTTCCTATCGTCTAAATATACTATGCAACAATGCAAAGACTCGGTGACTCACATTGTCATTACACGATGTATTTTGTTCTTCTACTTGCTTTTTTTTTTTTTTTTTTTGCTATACAAATTTTAGGAAAGGGGTTGGACTCACCCATGATTTAAGGACAGGGCACCTAACACTTGATCTATTGGGGCTTGTCCCTACAGGCATAGGAATATGACAAGCAAACTTTTTTTTTCTAGTCTAATAGGTAGGAATTTCCCAATTTTACTACGCTGTGGTGATACCTCCCCAGCACCGCGACCGGAGCCACAACAAATGGCACTCTCCAGGATTAAACCTCCTCTTTTTGGTGAGAAAAAGTTCAACCCCTTCACTAACTGAACCCACGGAGCAAGGGTTTCTACTTGCTTTTTTATCTCCTCAATTCCATCCTCAACTTTATTTTCTCTTTCGGGCTTTGTTTGGGCTGATTCTAAAGTCCCAGCCTAACCCGTATTGCCCTCCCAAGTCCATAGCCAGCAAGGATTAAGACCCGTTTGCCCGAAAGCTCTTCCTTGAAACCCGCCGCACTGGAGCTGCTCCTTCTTTTATATAGCCTTACAGGCGGCACACGGCAAAATCGTAGTTATAGGAAACCCTAACTGAATCCTCCGTTTCCCTATTTCCTCATCTCACCTCTCTGTGAGAAAGAGGTGATTCTTCATTTCGATCTTCAATATGTAACGTTAGTTTGATTTTGTCGCGAGACACCTCAATTAATCGCAACTGAAAAGGTTGGCGAAATGACGCTCGAAGAAAGATAGAGATTAAGTAGTTTGTAGAGACGGAGTGAATTCAAAGATGTCAGCTACACCTGCTTGCTTTCTATCTCTCCTTGGGAGCTTCGATCTCGTTGTTGCTCCGTGGGTTTATCTTTATATTTTTACCAGCCTTCTACTCTCTTTTTTTTGTTGGGCATTTTTTTTTCCAATAGGGAATGGTAGTCCGACGACGATGAAAACCGTGGTTTGTCGTAGAATATGTTAGTCATGCTTGGAAATGAGAAGAAAATTCTAGTACTTAGTAATTTCACTAACTTGTTAATTGATGTCGGTGTTGTGTATTACAGCAGGAGAATTTCTTTGTATTTTTGAAGGTGGCCAATTAGCCACTCACACGGCAACTCTAGAGTTGTCTTTCTGTGTGTGAATGGTCAGTAAGCTCACCTAGAACAAGTCTTGTTTGATCGACCATTACAATGAAGCTGCTCTGCTGTGAGCCTGTAAGGTTTCATTGATTGGGTCTGTCAAACTACATACCCGAAACTCCTGTCCTGACACATATGACAAGTTTCATTCCTAGTTTTGCCCCTTTATATGTTTTTAACCAATTCCTGTGTAGCAGGATTTGACAATCTGCTTGTAAAATTGCGGTCGTGGTGGTTATGCAACAGCGTTAGGCTGCAATTGTGGTCTGCAATGACTACAATTCAATCATGCTGGGTAGCTCGTTAGCTAGTCACATACTACTTCAATAAATACTTGTGTGATTGGCAGTTAAGCTACCAAGAGTGATCAGTTGTTGGCAATTAATGGTGAAGCAGAGCTTGGTGGTTCTTGTCTCTGTGTCCACCATCTACTACACCTCACACACCTGGGCCATGCATTTTGTTGAAGACCAGCTATTAGAAAAAATGACATGATAATAAATTGGACACTAATGCTTACAAAAGACAAGAAAATTTAAAGGATCGGGCATTTCTCGCCAGACAATGTTAATAGATGTGTTTTCTTCACTGTTATGGTAGCCAATCAGCTAGTAATTTAGCAGTAGCAAAGTGCTGCCATTGTGTTTGCTGATGAAACCGTAATGTTACTAATGCGTTTCCAGTAAGAGTTTCTTAGAAGTAGAATGCGCGATGTTGACAGCACATATGCTTAATTAGGATCGCTATAAATAACGTGCCATCCAGAGGAGCTATGCATCCTATTTTGCAATATGTGAAATCTGTTATTATGCTAGTTTTTAGAGTTCAAACATGCATAAACTATGGTAAAGTAGCGGTCTGGTTGCTTGAATCTATGCAGAAGGGATTGAAAGTAAAGCATTGAAGATGTGTAGCCTCTTTTGCAACTTTAGGGGAACATAATTGTCTTTCGGGGCCCTGTATAAGGCTCAGCATTGGCTTTCCATGGTCCGATCCGTTGTGAGAGACTTGGAAGCCGGCTTGCCTGGTCAGTGGTCGGGTAGCTTTGGAAGTCTGATCCTGGACTGGGACCCGGGAGTATGGTCTGCCAAAAATTATAGGCGACTAACTAAGCAAGCATATATTCAGACGTGCTTGTGTACGTGCGTCTTTTGCGCAACAAAATATAACTTTGTCCATCGCATTCATGGGAGCGAGAGCAAAGCGAGGCCAGAGCACCTGGGGTAGGGAAGTTGGAGATGAGCCGGTAGGACCCGTTTAGTTCAATACTTCAGTTACATGTCCCTTCAGTAATGTAATGCAATGCCATACAATGCATTGTGATGCATTATTTAGTGTCGCATGTTGGAACTTAGTACGGCCTCTCCTGCTCCTATTTCCTCGTAGAGTGATAATTTCATATTAGCAAAAATTGAAATTAGCACAAACCAACGACCCCAATTTGAGAACAAATTAAACAAAAGCCCCCATTTGGAACGTATGCGAAAGGGCAGAAGAGAAGGAGATAGACAAGTAGCAAGCAACATCTTTTTACCCACTAAGGGCTTGTTTGAATTGCTGTTTGGAATGCCAAAAGCATACAGGAAAACGTGAAATTGAAATTGAGGTTTGTGGCTTATTGTAACTCAGAAGATTGTTTGGATTGAGGTTCGTTTCTAACTAACTTATAAAAAAAAGTAACTTTTCTAACTGACTTATCCAATGTAATTTTGATCAATTTTTCTAACTGACTTATCCAATGTAATTTTGATCAACTTTTCTAACTGACTTATAGAAAAATTGTGCAAAACTTACGATCTAATTAGTTATGTGATTCTATTTACTTTAATTCGAGACCAAATAAATTTTAATTTATATTCATGTTTGTTCATTATGTATATTTAATTAATTATCTACAATATATTTTCAAATTTTTCTCCGTAACAAATATTTTTATTTTATAATTTTACAAATAAACTGTTTATATTTTATCATAATAATTTTACGTGTTTCTTTAAATTATTATTACATTAAAAATATAAAATTTTAAACACTACTCTATATCCTTTTCAGTCATTTTACAATTAAACTAATTTTTCTATTAATCATCTAAATAACTTTTAACTTTTTCAACTGACTTTTAAAAGCATCTATCCAAACATAAATTGTATTACACTAACTGACTTTTACTCTAACTTCAGTTACAAAAGTCAATTGGGTTAGAAGTCAGTTTTACCCAACACCAATTTAAACATACCCTAAAGCTCATAGACTAAAGCTCATAGACAAAGATCGACGGTTCACCCGTAAATCGGCCTTGCAGGAGATTGAAACCCCACAGCTGTTTGACCTCGAACTGAAGCTTTAAACCGAGAGGGTATACCATGACTACAGCGGGAACAAATGATCTTGCAGTGTAGGAGCGGACAACAAAGAAAGATTTTGGGTGAGGTGACCGTTGCTCCTCAAAAATCATTTATGAAATTTGCGGTCACCATCGAACTTGCAAGCTTGATTGATTATAGGATGTCAATGCCCCTTGAAGGTCATTTAGGGAAGGGAACGATAGGGCCGGCTGCAATGGGATTGAATCAAAACAGCTCTTAATTATCACAAAAATGGTACGCCCTACTGTGCTTATTATAAGTATCAAATACCTGATCCAAGTATTATTAATTATTAGTTAAAATTAGTTAAAAATATGTTCTTCTGGTCTTATTTATAAGGCAAGCAGATAAGGTTTTTCTTTGTAAATTTATAAATAAGATTAGAAGAATTTTTTTTTTTTCAAATCTGTTCTTATAAAAAATGAAAAAAAATGTGTTGAGAAATATGACAGGAGAGAGAATAAATAATTAATGACAAAATAAAAAATACATTAAATATTAAAACAAAATTAAATTGAAACTTATAAAGTAGATCACACTTCTTTCTAAATTTAAAGTTTATAAATAGAATTAGAAAAAGTAGTTTGTATGCTTTTTTTTAGGAAATAGAAGTTTCATTTTATCAAAAAAGAAAAAGAAAGATGAAAACAAGCAGAAATTTTCAGAGAACATCGTAAATTGTAAGTGCTAGTTTTTCAAGTCAAAACTCAACATGTACACATCCGACTCTGACAGTCAATTTAGATGCATAACGTATTATCTTACCTCGTTATCTTAATTCTTAAACAAACGCATAACGTAAAGACGGTTTTATAAAATTTAAAAAAAAAATTTAAAGGGGTAATTTTTGCCAACAAATCTATTGAGAATGTTACGTGATGCCGTGATAATATCAAGCAGAAAAAACGAGTCATATCTCATTCTTCTTAACTCGCCTATTTTCTGCTGACACTTATTTCGAGCCTCGGATAACTTGAACCTAGCCTGCTTAATGTTGGTTGTTACTAGAACGATCCCTGGCTCCTTCCACGGTTGAGCCATGAAAGGCATCACATAAAAATCCTATAGACAGTGTGATCATGTGTTTCACTGAGGGGAACAAGGCAGAAACTGAAACCCTAAACGCAACCGACTTGTATAGCCATAAGAAAAATATCTACATTTACCTTAGTTCAGGAGCGATAAAACTGGAAAAACGAACAAAGTAACAAAGAAGCAACCAGTCTCTTACATTTATTTATAAACCTAAGGTGATACCCACATCGCCTACATCTGCACCACATAATCAGCCGAGGAGACTTTGTCCAATTCATCCTTATCGCCATCATTGCCATCATCAAAGAAATCCTCCCGGACATTGCCCGCTAACATGAGAGCAATCAGCCAAAAGAGGGATGAATCGAGAGATAAAAAGGCACCACCACCAAGAAGACCAGTCTTAGCTGTAGGGCAGTCGTAGCTCGGATTACGATGAACATTTTGTGACCAGTGAAGCTGTTCCGTTATTGTTGGCCACAACAGAAATGCTGCCGCTAATCCAGTTGTAAGCCTAAAATAATAGTCCGTGTTACAGAATAAGTTATTCAGCAGATGCAACAGCAAGATAAGAGATATGAAACTAAAACTGGCCAAAAGCATGCGTAAACAAATAAGAGGTTTGGTGTACCATAATTTTAAACCTAGTATCTTGAATATTAAGTGGCACCCAAGATGTGAGATGTCTATGTTTGATACAAAGATATACAAGTCATACCAACAGGTATTCTGAGCGGTATCTCATATCACACCATTTTTAGTTTCGTGGACTCCTATAAAACTGTAATTGTCTCTTTTCAAGGACAACTTTCAATTGTCATATCTAACATGAATCTCTCCCAGTCATAATGTGTGAGGTACCATGGTATGACACATCAAGGAAGCATGCTGTCAAGTTATTGATGAACATCCTTTTTTTAAGTAATTGGAACGGCTGTGCCATTTTGTAGCAGAAAAACCCAGAATTCAATTCTCAAAATATGGCAGAACTACTAAACCCTCGAGATATCTCTTACTTATATGATCAGGGAACAAGAATGAAACAATGTTATTGCATGATTCAATGACCTGATGGAAAAATAATTAAAAACGGCTCAGTGAAGGATCAGAAAAGTCTACTTACAATGCAATGTTGAAGAATACCATGAAACTACCGCTTCTAAACAGAACCCCTTGTGGAACAGATTTCCCTTTGTAGGGGTAAAATAGAGACAGGTAGCCAACCACGGCAGAGGCAAAAAGAAATGCTACTGAGAGATATCCCAATAAAACAGTTGGATCAGATGGGTACTGGCAAATAACACTGCCCTTGCTAATTATTGCGTTACCAGCAGCAGGCTATAGTAAGGAAAGAAGAATAGAGCTCAAGTTTAGATTATAATTTAAATAAACATCTTAAGAATGTAGGAAACATATTATGAGGCCGGCAAATACTGATATAATAATGCCTAATATGAAATGTGTGAGTATCTATTATTATTATTATCTGTCTAATTCGTTCAAGCAATAAAGAGAATGGGTTTCTAATATATCTCATTCTTCACAGTACATTAGTCATCGCTCATGGGAATACATACTACGTATAGACAGAATATCGTAAGGATTTAGAAAAGAGATTTAGTAATCTGTGTTGTGTGTGAGTATATAGTATAACTTTCCAGTTAATTTGTCCAAGCAATAAAAGGGACAGGTTTCAAATAGATTTTACACTTCACAATAGGTTGGTATTCGTATAGCCAGAACATTGCAAGGGTTTACAAAAGTGATTCATTAATGATTGTTGGGTGTGAGCTTCTAGTATTACTTTCCACTTAATTCCAATCAATAAAAGGGACTAGTTTCAAAAGGATCACATCCTTAAATTATCGCTCGGACTACAAATTTAACAACAGACGCACTGGATGGAAGAGTCAGGATAATATCAGATTTACACAACCACCTTAAATTGTCCCATAGAACACTACAAAATCCTTGTCTAGATGATCACCTTCTTGTTTTCGGCAATAACTCCCAATATGAAAGACGCCACGCCAAAAGCTGTTACAATTGTAGCCATCTGCTTCACGCTGAGAGCCATAGTGCCCTGCAAGAGGAAGGGTGAAAAAGTTCAGCAGACAACGAAATTGAATGACACGATAACATAATCAGGAACTTCTTTTGGAAGCCGCAAAAAGAATGCAAAACCAAAAAGGGAAAAATAAATCCAAATCACAGAAACAATATTCTAAAGACTATAAAGAGAAACAGAAAAAAATGCGTGCCTGATAATTCACGATCAGGATAGTCGATGAGGGAGGGGGAAGAGATAGATGATAGAGTGAGATTGAAAGCCGAACCTACAAGCGGATTCGGAATTTCACTCAAAGAAAGGGTGTTTCTCGGGACACACAGCGAAGGGAATGAGAAAGAATGAAAGATATAAGGGAGGTTTGGATTCGCATACCTTAGTTTGGCCGGTAGGTAGCAACGAAGAACGGAGATTCGGTTAGATACCAAAAAGCCTCTGTAGTCTGTACCTTCGAAACTGAATCTCTGGGTTGGCAGTACAGAGCAATCTGGTTGAATCCAGCTGTGCGCCGAATATCCAAAAACGTATTTATTGTTATCCCCGAAGGAAATTAGGTTAATATATGATTTAATGGCTTCCTATATGCTACCTCCCCCATGCTAACTGCGACAAGTTATTTGTGATTTACAAACAAAATTTTATAATTAAGATCAGAAATAATATATAATAATTTCTTTTTTTAACAAAAATATAATATAATTTCATTGGTACAACAAATTAATGTTAATGCATGTATGTAAAGGATTAAGAGTCTGTTTGCCCAGTACTTTTAAGTATTTTTATGAAACAAAATTTTTCTTGCATATTTATTTTATATTTTATAAATTATAATTAAAAAACTGTTTTTAAACTCACAAATCCCAACAAGGAAGGCAGACTATATTTGTTATCTTGTGCCATTTGATTTTGTGAAATACTCGTGTGACCCTATTTATAAGATAAAATTTTTTAGTAAGAATGTATTATTTTATTCTTTATTTGTTATAATATAGATAATTATTTTTTTAAAGATGTATGTATTAAATAGGAGTAATATTGAAAAGTTATATTTTAATAGAAAATTAATATAGTTTAAAGTTATTTTTTGTCTGTATAAAATATATTTGAAGTGTTTTATAAATAAAACTAGAAGAGTAGTATCTTTTATTAAAAAAATAATAAATATTATAAGAAGGAGATTAATCGAATAAGATATCCCTATATATGGGGGAATATGCCGGATAATGATATTCTTAATGCATGTATATACATATATAACATATATCTCACAAGGATATGAAAATAATTGCTTTTATTTTTTTATATGTAAAGATATTCTTAAAATATTTTTATTCTCTTGTTAATTTTAATAATATACGTTGTCATATTTTATTATTTTAACTTTTCGTTTTTAACAGTATATTAAAAGAGTCTGAACTAGCGCTGCTTATTTTCTTAGAGGGTGCTTGGCAAAATCTGAAAGATTTTTTTTCCTTGACCCAAACCATAGCTTCGGCCAAATATTTGTCAAACACCCAACTGTTATTTGGGTGTGTTTGTTTTTGGGTACAAATTTGAGAGGTGTTGGTGTCATCATTATGACTGTCAAAGGACACCCACCTCCATATGACAGAAAACACCTCATATTCAATTACAAACTTCTTTCTCTTCGTTCTTTTCATTCCATCTTTGCTCCTTCAAATATTATATATTAATTATTTATTAATTATATTTTCTTATATATTATTTATTATGTTGGCAAAAAATATATTATTAACAAATTATTACTTCAAATTAAAATATATTATAAAATCTATCTTTTATGTAATTATCATATTAATTTATGTCTTTTTTTTAGTAATTTGTGCATATAAAAAGTGCTTCCGATAATAACTATCCAAACACTCTCACTTTATCAGAATCATTTTTTCACAAAATATATTCTTTCAAAATCTATTCTCAAAAATAATTTTTTCTTCAAAAACTATTCTTCAAACTATAATTTGGTTTTATCAAAACACTTATGATAATACGTTTTGTGGCATGAAGAAGCGATTCCACGAAAAGTCACAGGAGCCAAAAACTTCATCAATATTCAGAACAGTCAACAGGATGACATGCTCCTTTAGTTTTATTTCTATGACAGAAAGAAGATTTTTTTTATTCTATTAAATAAAATACTGAGAAAATTTTGTTGTATAAATATATAATTTTACCCCTCAGTTATTATCATATTGACTTTGTTTATATGAAATATAATGTATATTAAATAGGGATAAAGTTAAAAAATTATTAAATTTTAAATTAGAGTTAATGAAATTTTAAATTTTTCTTAGTCTATATAAAACATGCTAGAAATGTTTTATAAATAGAATGAAAAGAGCATGAAACTTGTGGGGCCATTAATGGCTTAAAAAAAAAAAAAACTTGTGGGGCAGTGAGGACAAGGGAAGAGTGATGGAAGAGGAGATGGGAGCATTAAAAAGGGGAGTGATGGGGAAAGTTAAAGGGGAAGGGGTGAGTAATTTTTCTCCATTTTGTTTAACCAATTAGTACGAGAAGGAGACCGGAGGCAGGGAGGTCCATTTTTTCAAATAAAGGAACTCAAAAAAATAGTGTTTTTATATGAATCGACATAAATTTTTTTTATACTTATCTCTTATATCGTAAAATTACTTTTAAAAAGTTAATCTAGCCGCACACAAAATTCATTGAAATTTCTCGTCTCATTTGACCTCTCATTTCCTTCAGCCAAATCGACTCAAGGAACAAATATAATTCGTTTTCCAGTTTTCATAAAGTATTGCTTCTTCTTTTCTTTTCTTTTTCCAATGTTATGAATTCAATATCTTGTGATAAGTTGAGTTGCTTTTGTGTTATCGCATCAGAGATATGATTTCAACTCCCCCCCCCCCCCCCCAAAAAAAAAAAAAGGCTTCCCTCATCATCACCGCACAGCTGTCTTAAATGCCTGTGCCGCTGCTGCTGTATGCATGCACTGGACTCGGTGGTGATCGCGGAATACCACAACTTCTTTCACATCTTTGTGGTTTAGTAGGGATCTCATCAGGTCCAAATTGGTAGGCCAGTCCTTGTATTTTTGCTTGGGTGACCCAATCTAGTTTGGATGGCCTAAGAGGCCAGACCAGACCCAGCTTCAATTCAAACGCCACTTGGACAACGATGAACATGTCAATGCCACGATGAAAGTATAACTGGCTGAAGAAAATCAGGGCTGACTTGTTTTCGTTAGATGGCAAGTGGTTATTGGCTACGGATTTGTCATTATATTGTCTTTCTTTTGTTTAAGGATTTTCCCCGTATTTTATTTGAATAGCTCACTGTGCTTTGTGTTAAAAAGTTCACTTTGCTTTGAACCTGACTCTAAAGTGTGTCGTGAGTAATGTTCTTACATCATCATTATCCATGTTCCATTGGCTGGCCGAAAAGAAGATCTTTATCATCCATTCACGCAGATAGGACAGGCCAAACACCACATGAGAAGCATCATCAACTTTATTTGAAAAATAATAATCGGTGAAATATTAGTAGTATGAATTATAAAAACACAGGCCTCTGTGGACGTCCCCGGTTTTAGTAATTAATTATTTATATGTATCGGTATTAAGACGCACGACAATGACCATAAGGGGCCGTAGAAGACAAATAGCGCTGGGTTGTGAGGGTGACGGAAGGTGGGGTCACGCCGGGCAAAAAGGAGTGTGATCTTCACCAATCGTGAATTCGCGGTGGATATGCAGTCAGCCCCACACGGCCTATTGTTGTTATTAGTATTATTGTTCAGCTGGCGAAGAAGTGAGACTCTCTCATAAAAAAGAAGGGGTTTGATCTTAGAGAATGTCACTTTGTTGTGGTCCAGTCATAGTGTTAGGAGAGGCATCTCCACAGCGTAGTGAAGCTGAAAAATCCTACCTGTTGGGCTAGAAAAAAAAAAAAAAGCATGTTTGTCATACTCTCATACCCGTAGGGATAGATCCTAATAAATCTAGCATTAGGTGTTATGTCCTTAGATCGTAGGTGAACCCAACCTTTTTTTTTTTAAATTTGTATACCAAAAAAAATGTGTTCGCTATATTTTTCGGGAAACACTCCAGCCCGTAATCTTTTATTTAAGAAATATTTTTAAAAAAGCATTTAATGTCATTGGGTTATAAAATTCCAACAGCCTCCCAGGGGTCCCCTTATCCTTTGGATTTAGGAGTTTACTAATGGCTCCTTTGGATCTGCTAAATGTATAAGCACCTATAAACATTTTTACATGAGAGCTAACAATACTTTCCACATATATTTATTTTGTATTTTTTAAATTATAGCTGAAAAGTTGCTAACCCTGATATGAATAAAATAACAATGGGTCGTTGTTGTTGAATTTTTTGCCGCGGTTGATATCATCATCATCATGTATTGATGATTGTATATCTCTAAATTTTTTTTTGCAAGATACTACCTCGGATCCTTAATATAAGATTTTGTTTGCTTTTTATTTTGGTTCTAAATATAAGACCCTAATACACTTTGTCTTTCATGTTTATGTATTTTTTTTTCAAATAGTCCTTATAATAATAATTCTAGTCAATACACTTGATTAGTAAGGATATTTTAGAAACAACAACACCTATTTATTACAAATAACTAACTTAACTTATTTTTTGAACTTTCTCAAATTAATTAACTGGCTCTCATAATTAAAACTGGAGGTGGTGTAAATGATATCCTAGTAAGCATCATGTTTTAAATAAATGACTGGGTGCAAATTTTAATCTTTTGCATATGGGAAGAAAAAAAATTAGCCCAAACTCTTACTACCCCGGATAGCCTTTCCTATCAATAGAGAAAAGCTCATACCAACAAAATTATATTACAAAAATATTTTTTTAATGAAAACAATTTAGGCAAATTGGGTCTCGAAGACTCACTAAGATCAGGATATTACGGGGGTGTTTTGATGAAACCAAATCATGGTTTGGAGAATAGTTTCTAGAGAAAATAAATTTTGTGAAGAATAGATTTTGTGAAAAAGCGATTATGAGAAGTGAAAGTGCTTGGATAGTTGTTATCACAAGCACTTTTTATATATACAAATTACTAAAAAAAGCATAAATTAATATGATAATTACATAAAAGATAGATTTTATGATATATTTTAATTTAAAGGAATAAATTATTAATAATATATTTTTAACCAACATAATTAATAATACATAAGATAATGTAATTAATAAATAATTAATATGTATATATATTTATAAGATATAAGATTAAATATGTTTATAAAAAAATAATTGAGGAACGTTAAAGTCATATTATTGTTGAGATCTACTTTGATATCCACAGTCATACTCTCCAATTTGAGCCAGAAGCAGAATGGATTCACTTCCCCTGAAACCATGATTTTGGCCCAAACTATGGTTTCAGATTATTGGCCCAAAATTAATACTGTTTGAGTGACATCCCACCCAAATCATGGTTTTGCCGCCAACCATGGTTTTGGGGTACCCAAATAGGCTCTACATATTACTCATCAATTAGGTCCTCACATCGATAATATGATTTAAAATCATAATTACCAACTGAATCAATTCTCGTTGGTTACAAAGGCACAAAATTTTCTTTTCTTTTTTTTTAAATTTCCTTATTATTTTTGTTTTCTTGGCCAACACAATTTCCTTTTTACCCGGACACAAGAGAGTCAGTGCACCCGTTTCATATCACAAGGAAGGCTTTTTTGTGAGTGATATCGGCCAAATAAAACAAACAGCCTGTAACAGTCAACCTCGCAAAAAGTTGCACGTGAATCCTACCGTATCTATGACTCATCGTCCATTCATCCCTTTTGCACTTTCCTCATTCTCCTGTCTTCATCCGAGTACCGCATCTTTATTTTTAGGCTTTTTTTTTTCGTATTTTAAGGGAAAATGATAACGGCTATAATTAATTCTATTTATACCATACCAGAAGTGCAGAACATAAAAATAAAAAAGTGTAAAAATCCGAGAATAAACTTGAAAACCGATGTGTGTATTAAACAAGAAAACGTTCACTTGCATTTGATTGGGGGGTGGCTTCTCCGCAGACTAAATATGTCCATGTCAAAACTATAGTGGAGGCACCGGTGGTTTCTACGCCGTCCGATTCAATATTTATTCCTCTAATCGTATTTCTCTAGCGTCGCCCCTCATTTACTTTCTGTCTTCACATATTTCAAAAAAAAAAAATGATGGGAAAGCCATGTAAAAGGGACAATCAGAAAAGATTAGATATTCCCCGCCAAAAAATGAAAAGATTAGATATTGCGTTTGGAGCATTATCCTAACGATAAAAGGTAGTCTCTCGGCGTGAAAGCCGTGTCCGTTTAATTCCCCAGGATTGGTTAAGCTAGCTCTACTTTCATTTCTTTTTAAACTATATACTATTATTATCTTTAATATAAAATCTATTTAACTAATTTAATTAGATTAAGAAAGTTAGATAAGTTAGTTAATTATAAGAAATGTGACACGTTTTTTTAAAATATTATAATTATCTTTCTTAATACCTCATCTTCCGCTTCTATTTAATTATGGTTGAGAAAGTATTTATAGGAGTAATTTAGAAAAAATTGATAAATATAAGAAATGGGTCATATGTTTAGAACCAAAACCAATTCAATAATTAAGTCTTACATTAAGAACCGGGGGAGTATTCTATTTGTCGAGTTCTATCAATCTATTCCAATATAAAAAATGGTTCTTTGGAAATATAAAACTATTCTTTTAGTTAGCGTTTCCTGCTAATTATTATTATTTATTATAAATATAAAAACTAGTTTGTGATACAATTTTTACTACAAACTAATTATTATATTTAGAATAATAATACGCAAATTTATTATTTTCTCGGCAAATATGCTAATATTTGACATTCCGATTCAAAAGCCTCGTAGAGCTGGGTTTTCTTTTCTTCCCCCCCCCCCCGACAGAAATCATCCATTATCAAAGAAACAACACAGTCCACAACCGCAAGAGAGAAAAAACGAAGTATGATCCTTGTTGAAAAAACAAAGTATATCATTCAAAAAAAAAAAACAAAGTATGATCTAAAACAAAAGAAAAAACAAAAGCTAGAGCACAAAACACAAAACCAACCAAAACTTTCATCCCGCATCAAAAGGAGAGCCCTGGAGATCGTTCAGCAGGAGCTTCTGAAAAGCTGACGGCTGAGTTGGGTTTTCAAGCTAAATTCATTCCAAGTGAAAAAAAAAGGTGTGTTTAATATTATATTTTTTTAGTTCATTTTAATATTATAAAAAAATTTGAATTTTCTCTAATTTGACTAGACACGACTACAGTAAATCTTTATTAACAAAACCGGATTAGATAAAAGTTGTTCTTTATATTAAAATATATAATAAAATATTAATTTATATGCGGGTGATTGGATCGGATTGGATCGAACTTGAATTTTTGGTTTTGGATGCCCGAAGGCGTGGGCCCCGAGTCCGATTCATTGTGATATTGTCCGAGGGTGCAGGACAATGCATCGTGTCTGTGGGTCGGTGTCAGTGGCCACAGTCTAGTTAGTGGCTACTGCGTAACACTGTTTCCATGAGATCTGCTTTAGTTCAAAGCTTGTTATTATTTACATGGAAAGTTATTGCCGTTGCTGCTATTATTGCTCCTGTCCTATTGTTGCTAATATTGGTATATTTCCCGTCAGGGGAATTTCATTATCAATTTATTTGAGCTGCTCTTATTTTTCGTCTCACTTTCCTGACTTCCTCAACTCTGTCGAAAGTTTTAAGGCTTGTTTGGAATCAACTTTATTAAGTGCTTATAATTACTTTTATGTAAATCAACATCTCACACATATATATATATATATCTTGTATTCTGTAAATCACAGTTAAAAAATTAGTTTTGAATGCTCCAATCGCTATTTTAAATAAGTCCTACAAACTAGAGAATGCATTGCTGTAGAAATGATGCGAGCATTTTTACGACATGAAAATGCTTCATTAATCAGAATTTTTTCTTTCAGCGGAGCTCCAGGAAATCAATGAGCAAAAATGTTATCGCTTCAGCATATGAGTAATTTGATTACATATTGCACGTATCCAGAAAATCTCACAGAACATGCTTATGTTAGCAGTAATTCCCACGGAAAGCAGAAAAAGACCCCAAAAATAGAAAAAGTGAAAAGGAGTCATCAAATATGACTTCAACTTGGAAAAGGAGAGCAGGAGGGTAAAAGAGGGCAAAACAAATAAATAAAAGGCAGGACACTTTGCTGGAAAATGGATCGAGATTGGTTTAGTTGGATTAGAACAATGACAATGCGATACACTGACACAGAGGCATGGGGCAGTGAAGAGGACCCAACCCCTCCACGAAGGTCATCAGAATATCATAACATAGAACTGACGTCTAATTATGAGAGGTGACAGGTAATTAATATCATAATACAGCTCAAAGACTCTTCTTTCAATACCTGCTTCATGCTTTGAACGCTGGTTGCAGAAAAGTCACGGTTTATAAACTAGAAAGGACAGAGCTCGGCAAGAATTGGATTCAAAGGGACAAATAAATAAAGACATCGTGGTTTTTAATTAGGATTGTATTATCTGGCATCACAGGATCTGGATTGAACTCTGAAGCAAGGCACTTATGTGTGGCCGACCTCGACAAATGAACTACAAGAATATTTGACAATCTTTAAAATATTTTTAAAAAATATTTTTTTGTAAAATAAATTTTTTTATATATTTACTTCGTAAATCATGAAAGTATTTTTAAAATGATGGTTTGGTTTTTCCATCCAAACATTTATATCTTCATACTGTTATTATTGGTATATTTCAATGAACAATAACAGAAAACATATCACTAACTCCAGTTCTTATTAAAGATTCAATTTATGCTTAAAATTGAATTACGAAATCATATATCAACCACCAGTAATTATACATCAATCATATGAAACTCTGCGGCCTCTGAAAAATGAAGAACTACAATTCGTCAAGCAGATGTTGCCAGAGCGGAAATAATCTGTTCTAATAAAGCTTCCATTTTGATTTATTTATTACTACCTCCGTTTTAAAATATAAGCTAAATTTTTTTAGAATAGTTGGTTTTTTTATAAAATAATATTCATTTTTATCTAAACATTTAATGAGTTTTTTTTTAAAAATTTTATCCATATATATTCTTTTTCTTTTTAAATTTATTTATTACATCTTTTACTTATTCTCTTCATTAATAAGGATATATTAAAAAACAAATATATACTTTACATATTTATTATTTTAAATTGATTTTAATTAGTTTTTTGATAAATATGGGTTGATAAAGTTTAATTTATATTTTGAATTGGAGAGAGTCACTTTTTCTTAACCCGTAGTAATTATCACATATTTAATATTTTACTTTGAAAATTTCTGGTCACCGGAATTTTACTTTTATTGTCTTCCCATGTATCACGACTCTTGTTTTATATGAAAAAAAACTAATCTGTTTTTTAACCTGCTGCTGCAGCCATGTGATTTTTGAAATATTTTTGAAAAAGTGCAGTACCATTCTGCTGGGTAAGTTTGCTTCTGCTTACTTCACCCAAAGAAAAGATTCTCTCCCCTGAACTTCTTTCTCACCATTGATTGCCCATGCTCTCTTTCTCCCTCCTTCGATGCGTTTCTATCTCTTTCTTCTTAGCTCAACGAAGCATATTAACAACATCTACTCTCCTAGGAGATCTGTTCTACTTTGAGTATTTTAACATAATTTTTAGCTTTTGTTCGGAGCTTTGGAGCTCTAAAATTTGTTGCTTTCTACGAATTTCTTGTCCCTCTTTCCAAGGTGCTTTCATTTTCGTAATTTCACTGCGGCTATCAAATCTGCTTAATGCATACCCAAAACATTCTTTAAGCTCTGGTTTTTTAGCATGCCTGCTTTTGATTTCCGGAGCTAGTTCCAGAGTAAATCAACACTCGTCATAAAGGAACTTTAACCTTCAACTCTGCTACTTCCGATTTGTTTCTTAGTCCTGATTTCTGGTCCCTAGGTATACTGGTGAAGCTTCGAAGGAGCTCATGGAAGGTGAGAAACTCAGTAGGCTTCTCCTTGCTCCTTTGCTTATTTTCTGCGTGCTGTTAGTGGTTTCAACTAGTGGGATTGGTGTAAATTGGGGGACACAGTCGACACACCCACTGGGGCCATCCACAGTGGTGAAAATGCTAAAAGATAATGGGATTCAGAAGGTTAAGCTATTTGATGCCGATCCCAATATTTTGGACGCTTTAAAGAAGTCTGGGATTCAAGTGATGGTGGGTATTCCTAATGACATGCTATATACGCTGGCTACCAGTACGCAAGCTGCTGAAAAATGGGTTTCGAAGAATGTTTCTGCTCATATCTCTTCCGGCGGAGTAGATATCAGGTGAACTGATATGAATCCTCTTTTCTGTGGCTTTCCACTTGGGTTATTTCTTAGGGTTTAGATTGCATCAATAAATGAACCTTTTTGTTTGTATGCTTTTTTTTGGGGGAAAGTAGAACGAATAAAGTCATGTCACACATTTTCGGTATATCTGAGAACGTGAAGAACTGATAGGTCTGAAGTTACTGATGTTTGCTGCACTCGATGAGCATTAGCTTTTTATTTTGTTATTCATTATGTAATCTTTTGGTCTAGTTAACCGTTGAGTTGGAATGTCATTCCTGTTAGGGAGAGATGTTAACCCTGAAATAACCGATCGACTGGTTTGCTCTTTTTGTATTCTTTAGTTGTTTGAACACCTATAACAAAGAGTTACAAGTTCTTTGCTTCTGCAATATGCCATAATAGAATTTCCTGTTACGTCTAGTAGTCTCACTTTTAGTTTAGTTGCTAGCTCTTATCTTTGTCTTGTTGAGATTGGTTAAGTTGTGGTGTCTGGGAAACTATACTGCTTGTCTTATTTCATTATTCATCTGAACCAATAAAATGAAAATCAGATTGATTAGACTTGAAGGACACGCGAACTGCTTTGTGAATGACTGACTCAAACTCGGTGCTCATCATTGTTGCATGATATTTTGAGGCTTGTTGGTGGGGATGGGTGGTTTCCAGATTTTGCTGGCTCTGCATCATTAAGTCATTGCACATTATTATAATGGAAGATATTCATGTCTAATTAGTATAAAAGTCCACATTTTTTCGACTTGTTCTTACATAATGGAGAATAGAAGTTGAGTTGGAAGATGCAAGTGTCAACGTAGTTTATGCTCTAGCGCATGTGTTTCCAACGGTTCTTCTACTTGTTCTGATGCATTAATACAATTTTGTCCTCTTCCAAAGCCACTAGCATAGCAGATGTTAGTTATCTGGCTCACGGCTCACCCATGTCCTTTATCATTTGATTCTATGCTTTTAGGAAGCTTTGACGCTCTGCCACCTGCTGCCTAATTTATTCACCTCTAGTCTTAACTTTGCTCATTTGTGTTCTCAAACTTTATTTTTTGATGGTCCAATGCCCTCAATTTCCCATCATATATACCATATATATATAAATATCTGAAAGTGATGCTAAATGATGTAAAATAGAACAATTTCAACCCTCATCTGGCAAAGTAGTGTGCAACCTTGCCAGATAATAGAAGCACCCCTTTAATGGAGGGGTCAATGACACTGAGCTAGAATTTTCACGATTCCTAGCAAAAAAGCATAAGCTCATCATTTTCTTAACATGGTATCTCATCCGACACTAATTGTAGGAGACACTGATGATCCCTTTCAACTAAGATTTTTTCCTGCTTATTTCTACTCTGGCTTTCTTTAGGGGTAAGGCATTGGTTTCTTCAAAGCACGGCATGCCACTGGCTAATTTGTTTACCCATTCATGTAAAGGCATAGTGCTACCTGAAACTTAAGGATTAATTATCATAGCTAGTCCAGGACAACTGAAATCTTTGTGTGTTACCTTCGAAACATTCCTTTCCCTTAAAAAGGCACATTACTATAACATTCCATTTTAGACGCCATGCGCCTGCCCCCCCCCCCCCCCCAAAAAAAAAAAGTTGCTATTCCTTACAGGTCACTTTCGCCACCTGCAACCTGATTATACACTTACTCCTGCTATGCAGGGGTAAAAGTCATATGTGGTGCTACTGTTGTCAGTATCTATGAATGGGTTTAATGAACTAAATTCCTTCAAATCATCTATTGCATTGGGCTGGAAATAAGACGTGATTTGATTATTTATCCACATCGATGCCTCTGCTAAAATAGAAGGTTCAGATGTCTCATTTCTTTTGGATGGCGTATTAGTTTGATCTCATGATCTTAGGAATCGTCTGGAACTTTCTACTGTAGGATCTTAATATAGGCATATCAGCATATGAATGTATGCTCTTGCGGTGTCTTTTCTTTTTATGGTTATTTTTTATTCTATTTTAAACTTGGAACAGCTATCGTCTGTAACTTCTTGCTGATAGTTTCTTCTATTGTTTATAAGGTATGTTGCAGTGGGGAATGAACCTTTCCTGTCAACTTTCAATGGCACCTTCGAATCCACAACTCTTCCGGCTCTTCAAAATATACAGGCAGCTCTCACAAAAGCTCGTTTGAGTAATCGTGTTAAAGTCACTGTCCCTCTGAATGCAGATGTGTATTTGAGTTCATCTGATAAGCCTTCTGATGGCGATTTCCGGCCAAACATCCATGAACTGATGCTGCAGATTGTCAAGTTCTTGAGTGACAATGGAGCTCCTTTCACCGTCAATATCTACCCATTCATCAGTCTCTATGCAGACTCCAATTTCCCTGTTGATTATGCCTTCTTTGACGGTTTTCAGAGTTCTATAAATGACAATGGCAAAGTCTATGACAATGTCTTTGATGCCAACCATGATACTCTGATCTGGGCATTGCAGAAGAATGGCTTTGGAAACTTGCCTATTATCATTGGAGAAATTGGCTGGCCAACTGATGGAGACCTACATGCGAACCTTCAGTATGCTCAGCGTTTCAACCAAGGCTTCATGTCTCGCTACCTCACAGGAAAAGGGACTCCGATGAGGCCCGGCCCTTTAGATGCATACTTGTTTAGCCTAATCGATGAAGATGCAAAGAGCATTCAGCCAGGTAACTTTGAACGCCACTGGGGGCTGTTTTACTTTGATGGACAACCCAAGTACCAGCTTAATCTTGGGTCAACGAGAACAAATGGTTTGGTGGGTGCAAGTGGGGTTCATCATCTGTCTAAAAGATGGTGTATTATGAAACCATCTGCAAATCTGAACGATGATCAAGTGCCTCCAAGTATTGCTTATGCTTGTCAAAATGCAGATTGTACAAGTCTTGGCTACGGAACTTCGTGTGGGAACTTAGATGCTAGAGGTAATATTTCTTATGCTTTTAACAGCTACTTCCAAGCGAATGACCAGATGGATGGTGCCTGCAAGTTCCCAGGTCTTTCTGTTATCACTGATAAAGATCCTTCGACAGGAAGTTGCAAGTTCAGAATAATGATCGAGTCTGTTTCTGCTAAGAAACTTGCATCTATTAGAACAGTGCTTTTTGTATTTTTTCTTCTCTCTCTTCTGTAACTTTCCCATTTCTGCTTAGTTTGCTGGTTTTCTAATTTATTATCTTTTGAGAAAGTCAACTGAGTAATTGAAATTCAAAATGACATGTGGATCCTGTGAAGAAATTCGTTGCTGCTGCTTTCTTCTTTCATTTTTTTTCGGTCATGACGTTGCGGAGATTGTAATCTAATGATATTCCCCGGGGGGGGGGGTTATAATTTTCTTTCAAAAAAATAAATAGAAGACCCCATTTCAACACCATTCCCCTCCATGACTTATTTTATTGCCTGATAGAATAGTTTTGAATTAGTATAATAAATTGTACTATTTAATTTTAATATCTCGGAATTATTTAGAAATAAAAATCTTGTAATATTGAATTTTTTTTAAATAACAACTCTTTTGTAAATAAATAGTACCATCTCGACATTACAAGGGCACAACTGGCAAAAAAAGGAGGATATAATAAGATAATAAATAATATTTTTTCGGTCTTAAATATAAAACCATTCTGTAGTAATTCACTACAAAATGGTTTTATATTTAAAATCGGGGAGTATTTCATGCTCTTAGAAGTTATTATTCATCAATTTAGTTACTTTTTGTTCCATCGATTTAGTTACTTGAAGATGGTGGACTCGTTTGTCCATTTTTGTCCTTCACGGTTAATGTATTTTTAAAATATACTCATTTGATCCTTAATATAAGATCTATTTAACTAATTTGTTTAGATTTAAAAAGTTAGGTAAGTTAGTTAATTATAAGAAACATGACATGTTTTTCCTAAAATACTATAATCATCTTTATTAATATTCCTTTTTTCTGCTTGATTATGGTTGATGGAGTATCTATAAGGGTAATTTAGAAAAAATTGATAATGATGAGAAATAAGTCTTATATATAGGTTCAAAATCAACTTAATAAGTAGGTCTTATATTAAGAACTGGAGGAGTTATTTTCTGAAAGTTATGTCATTAATTTTACAGATGATACTAATATTTTCTTTAAATGTTCCAAATATGAGTACTATCAATATTTTCCCATTATTTTTAATTAAGTTAATTATTCGATTCAAAACATAATTTCGTGACAGGTTAAAGAATTACATTAATAGTTCATGTAAGTTTTTAGCTCTGTGGGCTAGTCGTTGGGGGCCGAAAGTCCTTACAGCTTAGAATACATAAGGTCGCTTTCTTTGATGATACATGCTATACGTAAGCCCATATGAACGGACATTTTTATTGGGCTGAAACGGGCTTAAATTTGATGGGTAGGTTTTATTCTAGTTCTAGGGTTCTTCCAAACGGGTCCGGCATTGCATCTCCGGAACCTTCCGATCCATGGTCGAGCACTTTCGGTCTATTTTCTCGTCCTCTATAAAAGGCAAACGCATAACGCGAAGGATGAGGATTCCAGCATGAGGCATGATTCAGCCATCTCTTCTCAAAAAAAGACACTGACTTTCTCATCTTCTTTTTCAAGACATCAATCTTTTGATTCTCAGCAGTCACTAGTAAGAAGAGGATTGACTACTGGGAAGGAGCTTTCTGATTCTTCAAGTTCATTAGAAACCCCATCAGAACCTTCAATGAAACATGACATTGATGCAGAGTCTCAGCATAAGACCCCGATAATCTTGCCTATGAAACGCAAGCTATCTGATCTGAAGGATATAGGAGTATTGTCATCATCTGGAAAGCGACTAAATGCAGGGGATCAAGGACTTCGATCACCCATTTGTCCGACTCCAAGTACGACCCGAATGATGCTGTTGGGTTTTTCACTCCAAGTTCCACCCTGAGAAGCCAACAAGGGCGATGCATAGGTGAGTATGTGGATGAAGGCCAATTAAACAGCTCAAATCTTGGTCAAGTAACGCCATCCTCCCAAATATCAAGTGACCAGCCTAGCAATCAAGAGCGTTTAACATTAGACTCTCTAGTAGTTCAGTATTTGAAGCATCAGCATCGCCAATGCCCAGCTCCTATTACCACTCTTCCTCCACTATCTCTTTTGCACCCACATGTCTGTCCTGAACCAAAGCGAAGCCTTGATGCCCCATCTAATGTGACTGCTCGGCTTGCTACACGTGAATTTAAGCATATGTATGGGGGAGTGCATGGGAATCGTAGGGACCGACAATTTGTTTATAGTCGGTTTAGGCCATGGCGTACATGTCGGGATGATGCTGGTGCATTATTGACATGCATTACTTTTACTGGGGACTCATCTCGGATTGCTGTTGGGAGCCACAATGGTGAGCTCAAAACATTTGACTCCAACAATAATAATGTGGTGGAGACCTTTGCATCTCATCAGTCTCCTTTGACACTTGTTCAATCTTTTGTTTCGGGAGAGAATCAACTATTGCTTTCTTCAAGCTCCCAAGATGTGAGTAGAGCCGGTAATATGCGGGTCCAACCCGCCAACCCGCCAAAAATGGCGGGTTAGAGTTGGCCAAAAGCTAACCTGTCACTACTTTAAAAAATATAACTCGCACCGCCATAACCCTAACCCGTGGCGGGTTGGCCCGCCAACCAGCGGGTTGGCCCGCGAGTTAACCCACCTATTTTTTTTTAAAAAATAGATAATAAAGGCAAAAGTAAAGTAAATTTTTACTTCAAACTTTATTGTCATTAGAAATAATTAGATAAATAAGGTTATTCAATATTGCTCATTGGTTTCATTGAAAAAAAAATGTGTGAACTTGTGTATTATCATGTTGGAAAATTGGACAATCATATACTATTTGTATTTTATTGTGTTGTAATTTTTATTTGGATGTTTCTAATATTTTATATCATTTTTAGTATTTTTATTTTGTATTATATATAATTGCTAACATTTAAAAAAATAAGAAAATTTTTAAAAAAAACAAAAATAATAAAAATAAAAATTTTGGCGGGTTGGTGGGTTTTGGCGGGTTAGGGTTGGCAAAATGCCAACCCGCCAAAAAACAGGCTTTTGAGCCCGCACCGGACAACCCACAACCCACCACAGGCCAACCCGCAACCCGCGGGTTGACCCGTTTTACCAGCCCTAGATGTGAGGCTGTGGGATGCATCAGCAGTAGTAATGGGTCCTACCCATTCATTTGATGGGTGCAAAGCTGCTAGGTTTAGCAATAGTGGCAATGTTTTTGCTGCCTTGTCATCAGAATCTGCTCGACGAGAAATCCTCTTGTATGATATTCAAACTGCTCAATTAGAGTCAAAGCTATCAGATACATTCGCAAGTTCAACGGGAAGGGGTCATGTCTATTCCATGATACATTTTAGTCCTTTTGACTCAATGCTGCTTTGGAATGGTGTCTTATGGGATCGGCGGGCCTCTGGGCCTGTTCCTAGCTTTGATCAGTTCACAGACTATGAGGGCGGGGGCGTTCATCCTGCTGGAAATGAGGTATGCTGAATTGATTATCTATCTTACAATAGATTTTAGGAAGAGCAGATAAAATTGATTCTTAGTGTAGAATTTTGGAGGCTAAATTGGATGAGGAATATAGAAATAGTAGTGCGTTCTTGCCCTTTCTCTTTCATTCAAAGAGTGCTTACCTGATACAACTAATGCTAGGTTGTTTTTATTGTTTGTGTCCAAGGTATCTAGTGATCTTAATATTTTTAAATTATAACGTCAGATTTGTATTTGTTTTTATCTGCATGGTGGTAATCTAACCATCTTTCCAATGCTTGCCAAAAATTGTTTTACCCAGGTTATTATAAACTCAGAAGTCTGGGATTTGGGTAAATTCAGATTGTTACGAAGTGTGCCTTTAGATCAAACGGCAATAACATTCAATGGACGTGGTGATGTAATTTATGCAATCCTAAGGCGAAATATTGAGGATGTAATGTCAGCAGTCCACACGCGTCGGGTCAAACATAATCTTTTTTCAGCTTTCCGCACTGTGGATGCGGTCAATTATTCTGATATTGCTACCATTCTAGTGGATCGCTGCGTGCTTGATTTTGCAACTGAGCCAACTGATTCATTTGTTGGGTTGATTACAATGGATGATCAAGATGAGATGTTTGCATCTGCTAGGATCTATGAAATTGGCAGGAGGAGACTTTCTGACGATGACGATGCTGAAAGTGAGGAGGAAGACGAGGACGATGACGATGATGCAAATGTGGATCCTTTACTTGGCCCTGGACTGGGTGGGGAAAGTGAGAGTGATGCTGATTATTTGAGCAACGATGAAGATGATGATAGTATAACAGATCTTGACAACAACGATGATGGGGATTTCATTATGGATGATTTAGACTTTGATGGAGGAACTGGAATTTTGGAGATTGTGACAGAAGGCGATGAGGATGACGATGATAGTGAAGTCCTTGAATCTTTAAGTAGTGGTGAAGAGGATTTTGTTGGTAATGGTTTTGGTTATTAGCAGTGTTCTAAATGGAAAGATTTGTTCTAGTGGTTTGGGAGGCTGTAATGTTTATTTCCCTCTAATTAAATTCATTTTAGGGCGATAGAATTTTCATTTTTTCCTCCCCTCAATTTTGATGTGTTATCCTATGATTTTACGCCTGGGGCTTAAAACATTACTGTATATCACAAGAGGCAGCAATTGTGTATAGCGCTTTGAAAACTGTTTCTGGAGCCGGGTTGCGCATGGGCGTATTGAAATTGTCGACGAGCTCATTTTTTGGGCGTGCGTGTTAATTCAAGATATTGCTTGTAAGAAAATCAGGTTAGTTAATTATAAAAAAAATACTGCTTCTAATTATAATTATAAGATCTTATTTGTAAACTAGAACTAAAGTTTTATAATTAGAACCAGAGATAGTATGTTTTCTATAAAATACTATAATTATTTTCAGTAATACGTTTTTTTTTTATTTGATTATGGTTGATGGAGGTTTTAACAAGATAATTTAAAAAAAATTAATACATATGATAAATAGGTTTTATATTTAAGAGCGAGATTAACTTAATAATTAGATCATACATTAAAGACAAGAAGAGATATTACTAAGTCTGCTTATAAGAAATAAGATGTAATTAAATTTTAATGATGACTTGTAAGAAAGTTCAAAAATAATATTCTAAATGTGAGATCTATTACATATTGTCATATTCACCTTCCAAAAGACACGAGAAGGATCAAGAATTGCGGAAGGCATTCGGTCGACGAGAGCGTGTGGGTACAGTTTCGTGTTTTGATTGGCGCGAACTGTACGGTTTTCTAAATACCTCCCTCGTTCTATATAAAAGGTATTTTTTATTTTAATTATAAGTTGCTCTTCTTATCTTATTTATAAGATATTTTTAATATATTTGATATAGATTAAAAAAAACTCAAACTGTATTAAGTCTCCATTAAAACATAAGAACCTTCTAACTTTACCTTTATTTATTATATGTACCTTTAAAAAAGATATCTCCACTATAGTCAATGAAAAACAATATAGTACATTTATGTTCAAAATTTAATAAAATAACTTATAAATAGAACAAAAAAATTATCTTTTTTTTATAAATAGGACTAGAGGAGTATATAGTTTTAGGGCATTAATTATTTTTGGATTAATATGCAAAAAATTTTGTGCAAATTTACCTCAAAATTTATAGTTAATGTTACTGTTTTAACAATTACCGTTAAGTTTTTTAACGGCAGGAGACATATTGTTATGCTTTTAAACTTTCAGAATAAATTGACAGCTAAAAAAATTTTTAGATATCCAACGTTTTTAGGTGAAAACTTCTGTTTGAACCCATTATTTTTTCTATATACTCAGATGGTTAAAAATGACTAATATTTAAAATAAGAAAAAGCATACAATGAAATTGAAAAATTGTATACTAAAATCGAAAAGAAGTTGAATATGATTCAATACAATAACGATGTAAAAGAAGAGAGCCTAGCAAGTGCTGCTCATGTATTGAGACTTCATTGCCATGCTCTTTACTTGAACTGGACCCAAAGACACCCATTGCCAGCTATTGCTCCCGATTGAAAATGGTGTTTGTCAGTTGAGATAGTCCCAAACACGGTCAATTTGTGCACAACTGCTTGCAACCCGCAATTGCAATCGTTTCTTTTTCTTTTTAAAGGCTCATGAAGAGCTTTATTTTTTTTTGGAATAAAAGGTGCAAGAGAATATGCAGGGACTAACTAGCTCAAAGAAAATTTATCTGAAGGAATATTTATGATAAGAGTTTCAACGTGCATTCAATGAGCTTGGCGGGTCAAAGAATCAGTGAGTTAGATCGCTGTTGATGAGTTGCAATTTCAGAGTTCACCAGAAAATGCTGGTCATGCTCACTTCCCAATGGCATTGAACGATCAGGCCCCAATCCTAACACTGACGCAAACCAAACCGCACGTGTGAATGGGGGACAGAGGAATAGAGGCTCCATCTATTTTGATGTGGCTTCACAGAAAGCACAAGCTTCTCTTTATTTATGAGGACGATACAAGACAGGGCAGGGAGTATTCCATTGCATTGGATCGGAGATTGCCTGGCTTGCGCCTAATCCTCCCCAAGTATCTCTGATCCTATTTATAAAATATCTTTTACAAACTATAAACAAAATCTTATAATTAAGATAGAAAACAATACAAACTAAATACCCAAAGTCCGTGCATAGTACAAACCCCATATTTTAGCACTAGTAATTATGTAAAATATTAGAGTAGTTTTTGGTGCACCACAAGACATTCAAATTTTTTCATTGTTTGTGGCTTTGTGCATTCAAAAAGCAAAATCACGAAGAGAGTAATTACTTTGGGCTCGTTTGGATTACCGTTTGGAATGCCAAAAGCACACAGGAAAACGTGAAACTGAGGTTTGTGACTTATTACAGCTCAGAAGATTGTTTGGATTGAGCTTCGTTTCTAACTGACTTATTAAAAAAAGTAACTTTTCTAACTGACTTATCCAACGCAATCCGAATCAACTTTTCTAACTGACTTATGGAAAAATTGTATAAAACTTACGATCTAATTAGTTATATGATTCTATTTACTTTAATTAGAGATCAAATAAATTTTAATTTATATTCATGTTTGTTCATTATGTATATTTAATTAATTATCTACAATATAGTTTCAAATTTTTCTCCGTAAGAAATATTTTTATTTTATAATTTTACAAATAAACTATTTATATTTTATCATAATAATTTTACATGTTTCTTTAAATTATTATCACATTAAAAATATAAAATTTCAAACACTACTCCATATCCTTTTCAGTCATTTTACAACTAAACCAACTTTTCTATTAATTTTTCAACTGACTTTTTAAAAACATCTATCCAAACATAAATTGCATTACACTAACTGACTTTTACTTTAACTTCAGTTACAAAAGTCAGTTGGGTGAGAAGTCAGTTTTACCCAACGCCAATACAAACATACCCTTTCTCAGTTCAGGTTTCCGTTGATAATGCACCAGGATTAAAGAAATTAAAACGTATATGCTTGCCAAATTAAGTTTAACAAGAAATATTGATTGTCTTGCGATGTCATGAGCACTACCGCTGCCAAAGCCACAGATAGTCTCCGGGATTCACACTAAAGAAAATTGCATGTAACATAAAGAAAACTGTAATGTGTTAATGTGTCATCAAGGGGCTATCCTGAGAGGGTCGCGCGGGTACAGAGATGTCTTGCGTATATTATTGAGGCCACAGAAGAGCATCACCACACGCTCCAAGCCCACTCCAAATCCACCGTGTGGGGGTGCACCATACCTGAAAATGATCAACCATACAGATATTTACTCTTCCACTATACAAAAAAGCAAGACACAATGAGTACAAGAGTCTAAAACACCACCTAAATTACTACCAATACCTAAAATAAGGAATGGTTATAACAGATTTGAGGAAGAGTAGTAAGAAGTGGTAATGAATACCTGAAAGAATCAATGTACGTAGAAATTGTCCTGACATCAATTCCGCAAGCAGCTGCACGCTTTTCCAAGAATTCTGGCACATGGATACGCTGAGCTCCTGAAATGATCTCCTCACCTAAAACAAGTCATAACACCAGAACTCAAGTTAACTAGCAATCACCCAAAATCTTGAAGATATGCAGCCTATAGAAACTAAAATAACGTGCAAGACAGATTGTCATACCAAGGCCATATCAGATGACTCAACTTACCTCGAATAAAGACATCAAATGAATTACTGTATGCCGGATTGTCATGGCAAGGCATTGTATAAAATGGCCTCACAGCCATTGGGTAACGGTGAAGGATGTAGAACTCAGTGCCATACCTATTAAGAGAATTACAGTCCGCTAAATGTCTTTGAAATGATGCTTCGTCACAGAAATCAAATAAAATATCAGATAAAAAGACCAAAATAGACAGAGAAAATGAAAACAGAATTACTTCTCCAAAACTAATTGGCCAAGTTTCCTTTCAGATTCAGTATTCAAGTCACCAAGAGGGTCAACGTCCACGCCAGCATCCTGCAGATTCAAATGACAGGGTGTAGTGTGTTACTGATCACAATACATGCATACTACATATACATTTCCTCTTTTATTTGTCACTTCATTAACTGTCATAATACCCAAGCAACTGAGCCGGTGCTAGGTAATTAATATTGCTCCATGTACAAGATATACACATCAAACTGCCAATTAGCTGAGGACATAAATACATCTGAGTTAGCAAAGTGAGAAGAATCTCACAATTGCGATCCTGCTTATGATGTTCACTTTGTGCAAATATGATCTCTAAACATCAGCCTCGATTATGTACAGATGTGGCATAAGAGGGCACGTGATTGATTTAGACTTGTTACATTTAGAGGGTCAAGACAAACTGAGAACATGAATATCTAAAAGCTATCAGCCCCTTAAACAGGTCAGTGAGCAAAGCGATTGACTCCACTACATGAAATCCACTTCAACATCATCCTCCAGTTCCAAGTTCCAACAAATAAGAACATATGCTATCTGGATCGTTTTTTAACATCTTTGGAAAAGGAGGGTTCTGCCAAATTTTCAAGGGTTGAGCAAAACTCGTCTATCCCATTGCAGTTTCTATATAGTCATTAGTTTCAAAAATAATATTTAAAGCATACCTTGAGCATCTGAACCCCTTCTTCAAATGTAAGCCGCAGAGTCTGCCGCAAATACTGCACATTCACAAGACTCTCATCAGATCAAAGATAATGCCAAACTCTGACTGATCTAGTTATCAGTATTGAACAGTGACATCTTACATAAACGATGTAATGAATCACTACATCACATGTTACTGTAAATTTGTCATGCATGTTGACGCGTGATGCATAAATACCTTTAAAGGTTCAAACGGGTATTGTCTTCCCACAGCTTCTAGATACTTCTGGCAGTTATTGTTTAAACTATCAAACATGGCCACAAATAGCCTATCAACTATATCCATAACCTGCCCAATAAATGGTACATTAGACTATACCTCTCTAACAATTTCATACGTAAATGCTTATCATATTACTTCCCGCCAAATCTACCTCAAAATAATGCCTCTTAATCTCCATTTCAACATCAAGACCTGTGAACTCACACAGATGTCTATGAGTGAAGGAATCTTCTGCTCTAAAAACAGGACCAATCTCAAAAACACGGCCAAAATCGCCGCAAATTGACATTTGCTTGTGCAGCTGAGGTGACTGGGCAAGGCACGCAGGTTGCCCCTTATAATCTAGTCTGAAAACGGCAGCACCTCCTTCACTAGACCCAGAAATCAGTTTTGGTGTGTGAATTTCAACAAAGCCTTCAGATGATAAGAATTGTCTGAATACCTGAACAGGCATTCATTTACAAGAAAACTAAATCAGTTAGCATAGCATAAGAAAAATGTTATAAAGAAGTATCTTAGTCTGTTTCTCTTGGCATAAAAAATAAAGAAAAGCATTCTAAAAAATGAAAACTGAGATTATATAGAGAATAAATTAAATATACAAAGGAAAACTTCATAATAATACTCGATGATGATATGCTTTACATTTACAACTTGAGATTGAATGCGGAAAATTCCTTGATTGGCCGGTGTCCGAAGATCAAGAACCCTATGGTTTAGACGTGTATCCTGGTTGACACGAACAAGTTGTTCACCGGCCTGCACTAGTCAGACGATCTACTCAGTATATATACAAAGGGGAAAATATTAACGCAGTCAATCTGGGGCCAAAAGAAGTTGAAATGATAGAGAACAGAATCTGATAACAATGGTGGCAGGACAATAAACAGGTTTCACATTGAGCAAACCACAAGCATAAGCAGATCTCCGAACAGTGTACCTGAAGAGCTTTCTCGATTTCAATTTCACTTCGAGCAGCATCCTCAATATTAATAGGCAAAGTTGGGACAGCCCTGTTCACGCAATATAATTTCCTCACTTGAATTTCGACCTGAAGGAGCAATAGAAGCGTCTCATCATTGCAAACGGTAACCTTAGCAAGATGCTCAATTATATGAAAGATATTTTTTTGAGGTTAGCCGATATACACCTAAGATAAATACATAAAAGGCATTATTACGAAACATATCTATCTCCAGTCGATAAACAAGTACTCTCGTCAACATAAATTTATCGTCCAACAATGAATAATTTTAACCTGCTGTGAAGCGCCTTTGATGGCAGCCCCGGGCACTGAGACGACCCCTTCGATATCGACAATGGATTCCCGGCTCAACGCCGTAGCATACTTCACCATCTGGGAGCTTACTTGATCGGGCTGCACTTGCACCACACATTGCACAGTGAACCCGTTCTCTCTGATAACCAAGAACGCCATTTTCTTCCCCACGGCACGGATCGTCTGCGCTCTGCCCCGAATCAGAACCCACTTGTTCTCCAATGAATTGTTAAGAGCTTCGACTTTAGTCCAATCGGAGATGTTAACCGCGGTCTTAGACTGGAGCTCCAAAAGTGGGACGTCGCCATAGTTGGCGGCGAGAGGATCTTCCTCAGAATCGACGGAAAGAGAAGACGTGGCGGCGGCTAAGGCCGCTTCTTGGCGGCGGCGCAGCTTCTCCTGCTTAGCTGCTTCCTTTTTAGCAGCTTTTTTGCTTAGCGACTGGGATTCTTCATCACCGTGGTCTGGTTGCTCCGATTGCGGTGGTACGGGAGGCTCCTTGGATTCTGAAGACATCTTTTTCCTGTACGTGATACAGCGGTAGACAAGGATGAGAAGGGAAAGGCTCTGTCCCCAGGCTTTACGACGGAAGACTAGTAGGGTTGCTTGCTTGGGTTGATTGGGTTGTTCAATCCATGAGACTCGAGCCGTTGAACCCAAACAATGGGCGCTCTCGAAATTTATTTACTCATTTTTCTTCTGATTATAATTAAAAAAATATCTATAAAGATAATTTAAAAAAATTAATAAATATAAAAAATAGATTTTATATTTATGGTTAAAACTAATTCAATAATTGGGTCCTATATTAAAAATCAGAAGAATATTAAATTCATTTATTTAAGTACATAAAATACAAAAATCAATTTTTTTGGCCCAACAAAATACACCAGTGTTATTTTTTTTGGCCAAACAGATCCACCAGTGTTATGAACTTTGTTTTCTGCCAACGACCACTGTCATGAACATAAATGAAGTATCGCCAATGAAATTGTTAATTGGGATGTGGGAAAAATAAGATAGCAGCATCAATGTTCGTCAATCTCAGTATTTATAATGGAAGAAAAATGACTATACTCGATGAATAGTAACAAAAATAAATAAGAAATGCATACCGTAGCTACTTGAGATGATATAAGAGAGAAGAGATAGTTAAACAACTCAATTACTGAGAAAACTCAATGCTTCTACTGATAGTTTTGGCTAGGATATTTTGAAAAGGCAAAATATTCATCATATCCATCAATTTAAATTTGAATTTTCAAATATCTTTTTAACATTATTATGAATTTAAATTTTGAATCCAAAATTAATTTCAGATATAACAAATTATATATTTTTAATATATATTTAATTTTGATAATATAAATTAAATTATCTATTTAATTTATATCATAATTGATTGGATTGTTGATTCAAATTATTTGACCCAGGCAACTAATCATAATTTTTGAACATTTGATTAGGATATTTTTAAACTTTCAATAGAATAAGCGATCCAAAAATTTAACATGAGTTTTTAAGATTTACTTGTCCCTAGAGGTAAAAATAAAAAAAGAGTTATGAAGAAAATGTTGGGGGGTGGCTGAATATAATTTATGCTTTTGTGAGAATCCTATAAAGGTGTTTGGATAACCCTACAATCACTTTCCAGAAGTACTTTTTTACAAATCGAGGTAAACTCCTTCACATATTTACTTCGTATACTGTAAAAGCACTTTTAAAACTATAGTTCTGTTCTTACTCAAACGCTCCCTATATTATTTTCCGATATTGAGCGCAGGGATGTCTTGAGAATATCTTTATTTGATTATGTAAACTTGTCATGGAAGCAATCTGTACTCATTTTTAGGCGACTAATCTTGTTATGTCTTGATTTTGCAATCGCGCCCACTGCATTCTATTGGGTTTATTTGGATTCGCAATAGAAAAAATAACTTATTTTTAACCTGATTTTAGAAAGATAATATTAGGTAAAAATTAAATTAGGTAATATAATTTGTATTTGGATTAACTTTTATAAAAGTTAGTTTGTAAAGTTAAAAAAATTGTTTTAATTATGATTGAATAAGTAAGTTTAGCTTTTAAAATGATCAAAATAGTATGAATTTTATTAAATAATAAAAAAATGATTAAAATTATGAATTTACAAAATATAGTAATTTAAAATTATTATATTAAGAAAAAGTTGTATTTAATAAATAAAATATATTTAAATTAAAAATAATAGTAATGTGAAAATTTTTGAATCAAATAATATTATATAACTAATTGGATGATTTACTCAGTATAATTTATGTAAATATAAAATAAAAAATAATATTAAAAATGAAAAATATCATAAAAACTGTTAAAAATTGTTTTTACTTAAGAGAATATTAAAAATAAAACTAAAAACTGATGGGGAAGCACAATAAGTGTATATAGAGAAGCATAAGAACAATATAAATATAAGGACAAAAATGTCTTTTAATTCTAAAAAACTTCTTTTGCAATCGTGTTTAACAAAATAACTTTTGACCCATAAGTCATATTGACCAAAATATGAGATAAATAGCTCCCAAATTTGCAAATTTTACTACATTCAATTCTTAATATAAGAGCTAGTTAACTAATTTGAGTAGATTAAAGAAAATAATTAAATTAGTTATTTGTAATAAATATGTGTTGTCTTTTTTAAAATATTCTTGCTAATTAAATTTACTGATTTGAACTACTATTATTATAAAAATTATCTTAAAAAATAAATAAATATTTTAAATAAAATAAAAATTAGGCGAGTTTTTGTATTAAAAATCAGAGCCAATACTTTTTCTCTTTCAAAATGTCTTACCAAACACGCCTTATATAAGCGTGCGTATCTAGCATGCGGCATAAAATTCAATGAGGCGTTATCTTGACTGTGAATTACGGAATTTGGCAGAACAGGTTTGGAAAAATTCTATAGCCATTAATATTAATATAAAATTTAGTTAACTAATTTCAAAAAAATTAAATTATTTAAAAATATTTATATTAGTTATTTTTTAAAATAATTTATCTTATTTATAAATTGATATATAATATAATAATCAACAAATATTTAAAATAAATTATGTAATATATATTACAATTAAATAATTTAGTAATTTTTTTAAATTACTTAGTTGGATTTTATACAAGGACATAACATATGACGGAATTTTCATGTGCTGTCTTGTCAACAGCTTTTCTTTAAGTTCGCGCCTGGTGCATGCTACTGTCCTATGTGTGGTTATTTATCTCTGCTTCTCTGATTTTATATTACTTCTTATCTTTAATATAAACCTTAATTTCTTAATTTAAGTATATTAAAAATATTTATTAAATTAGTTATTTATAATAATTATATGTCACATTATTCAAAGTGAATTAAAATCTTATATTTAAAAAAATAAATTAAAAGTAAAACTAATTTGTATATTAAACAGACAAAGTGGTATACTATAATTGGTTGTTTTATTTATAAAAAAAAAAAAACTCAGATCCTCTTCCGTTATAGGCTCGGGGGCATTAACAACAGTCAATAATTGATTGATAATGGATAACAGCGGACATGTAATGATTTTTTTTTTTTAAGCATAGTATAGTATTTCAGGTAAATAAAGGCAAGAAAACTGGGCATGATTTTGGACGAGCTCATCTCCGCGTCTAATCTTTAATCCCCCGTCTCATGTCTGTTACTTTGACTCGTTGGCGAACCCGAAAAGCTCAGATTTGGGCGAGCTGATATCCGGTTCGCGTTTAATCTTTGCACCTGGACCGCCTCCGTTTGGGCGCCTAACTGGGCGTGCCGCCATTTTTTGTGCATACGCGAGAAACACTCGAGCTAACTTTCTTTCATTATTTTCTCGCGAGCCAGACTGGTCATCTTCCAATTCGCATGCCGCAAAAACTCGGCAATCAGTCTCGAACACACCAGATTCAATAATTTGATAAAACGAACTCTCTTAGTTTCTTTTGATGCGGTGAGATCACGAACATCGGGAATTATTTCTCGAACGCACGATGGCCAAAGAAACGCAATTCCTCGCTCGTCTGGCTGCTAACCACCTCTACCTTGCTCAATTCGAACCCCTGCGAGCTATTCTTCTTGCTCTTCGTACTCGGAACCGTAACCTAGCTCGCTCTATTTTACAGACCATTGTTGCTCACTCGGGTCGATTCCAGAATATTTTATGGTCACCCTCTTGTTCGTCTCCTGCTCTTCTCACCTACTTAGCGACGATTGAATTGTTGCAATTCGATAATGCTTCTTCTGCATGGAACTTCGACTCAGAAACACTGCGGTTACGTGTGGAGTTCTTGTTGTTAGTTCAAAATTTGATTGACCTGTTGTCAGAAAGCACAAGGAAGAACATAAGCACAGAAAAAGATAATTTGAAGGGCGCAGGAAGTTCGGAGGACCAACGTTGTAAATTGGATGAGGGGGAAGAATTAAGGGATGGAAAAGGTGACCCGGGCAGCTGTATGAGAATTTTGGATAGGATTTTGGAGCTGGGAATGAAGAGGCTGAGGCCAGAAGAGGATGTAGAAATGGACAGGGCTGAGTCTTCGGTTTCTGCCAGTGTTGCTCCTGTTGAAGAAGGAGAGTTGATGTGTCTGAGGAGGGTGATTTTGAATCATGCAGATATTTTTTATGCACTCTGTGGGAATATACATAAGCAAATTAGACTGTGGGAGTGTTACGATCCTGGCTTAGCAACAACAGTGGGGGCAAGTGGCGATGCGCAGGTGGAGTTGTCGGAAGAAGAGGATGTTAGAATACTCGGTTTAATACTAAAGACCGTTCAGGTGGTTCATCTGGATGCGATGAAGCAAGTTATGAAAGCGGGTGATCCAGAAGAAGCAGTTTCACACATTAGATTTCTTCATTTTGATCAAGGAGTCGAGGTGACAGAGTACCGGTATGTCTATTTTCTATTGCCCTGCTTGCTCGGCATTCATTTCGCACATCTTTATCTGATATTGATTCCTTGTATTTGATAAGTTGTCCATAGTATAAATTTATGCCAAACTATAAGTTCTGAAGTCTTTTGATGGGGACTGAATGAATGAATTGCGTGTTGAAATACTGGCGATTTTCACGTAACTAGAGTATTATTTGACTAATCTTTAGTTGATAAACCATTCACGTAATTTGAAAAGCTTCTCTGTTTTGCCAAGTATTTTCTCTTTCATTTTGATCGCCCCTGCTCTAGGTTGCACCAAGACGGAGGTATATTATGATGAGACCACGACAAGATATATCTGATATAACAGTTTTTACAATTTCAAGATACGAATGCAGGACATATAAAAAATAAATTAATACATGAAAAATTAAAAAAATGATAGAATATCTATAAACAGGAAAAGTGGCGTAAAAACACAAATAAAATTTAAACTGAAGTTTTCAACTCAAATTAGATGTCGTTCGTCATTTCTATTTACTTCACTAAAATTTTTCAAGTTTTTGAGCCGTTTCAAAACATGCAAGGGTATTTCAAAAGTTTTGAAACATATTAAATAAGGTCAAAGGGACCGGCAATATGGAAGTTGAAGTACGATACCTGTATTACAGTCAATGTGTATTCGATGCTATAAGTTTAGTTATAAGATTTGATTTATGCCCTCTGTCTCAAGTTTTTTCTGCGCGCGCGTGTGCTCGTGTCTATGTACTTTTCTAATGTTCTTTGCGGTATTTTGTTATGAGCACTTGCTACATGTAAATTTGAATAAGTGATCATGTACTATTCTTGATCTGAATTTCTATTGCAGTTGGGGAACTCTCCTCTCCATTTATTGTTTTCATGCTGCATAGTTCTATTCCTAGATGTTTATATCTCGATGTTCTTTAATGTTTTTTGTAGCATAGTTTTGAAAGATCTCGTCAAGAGTGTTTTATCAAGAAGTGAGAATTTTGGTGATTCTTGGAATGCCATGCGTGACCAACTGCTAATGATTTATGGAGAAGCCCTTTCATCAGATTGCGGAGATATTATTCAAATGATACAGGTGCATAGAGGGGTTTCTTTGGCATAAATCTTCTTTATGTTGTTTTAAAAGGTGTCTGTAGGTAACATGCTTTATTGCTTTATCTTGCTAAATTGCATCGTAGCATTCTTTTATTGCATGAGAAATATACCTTGTTGACATCTTCTGCTGATTTGCTTATCATTGTAGCCTACAAAAAGGGTCAAAGTGGCAAAATTAAACACATAGAATTCATGTATGAAAAGCCATCACATAAAAAAGAAACTGAGGAACAACTGAAGCATAGTGTCATACAAAACCTAGAGTTAGAGCATGCAAAGTCTGAGATCCATTCAATTGAATTCAGGTTGAACTGTGTTTAGAACAGTCAATGAGTAAGAAAGGGAGGGGAAAAGAGAGGTGTCAATGGGATTGTCAATTTTCATTGTCAAGTTTTCTGTTTCCCTTTACAATCACAAAAGTAAGTCGACTACAATGGTAGTATAACTAGTATAGGCCCAGCCCAATAGTTGTTTATACACATCATTTAACCTAACTCTCAGACAATTATATTATGTTGTTAATTTGTTGTTCAAGCAGACTGAAAACTTCTTGAGTTTCAAGAGACGTTCTGTAAACTTGAGAAATTCTTGTAGTGTCTTGATCAAAATGATCCTAAGCTGGTGTTTTAACAATATACATTTTGACCAATGAGTTTATAACATACCAATCTTTTCTGGAATTAAGCATGTTCTCATCTTATAAGGAAAATCTGTCTCTTGCATGTATGAGTTCTTTTTTTTATTTTTAAATAAAAAAAAAAGCTATATCAGACATCAATCCTTGTCCTCAGGCCATTCACGATGAGCTGCTGTCTGAAGAGATTGAAGTTTATAGAGCTCAAACCGACAACTTCGTTCCACCTCCTCTCATGCGGTTTCTGAGATATTGCGCTGAGTTGAAGCTTCATCAGGATGTAGATGATAAGGCATTTTCCCTGAATAAGGCTGTTGACTCTTGCAAGGGGGAAATGTACCATTATGCTCGTGTTTCTGGACTACATGTACTTGAGTGTATCATGGATACTGCCTTGTCTGCTGTGAAGAGAGAGCAACTTGAAGAAGCCAGCAATGTATGTATCCATTTTTGTTAATACACTAGTCTGTTAAGCAGGCATCCCTCCGCTTCAGTTTTAAATATATGAACTACCAATTTAAGTTCTCCTAAACTGCTATATACTCAAGTATGAACTATAAAATATGCGCACTTAATGTATACTGCAGGCTCTCCAGTTGTTTCCCCAACTACAGCCATTGGCAGCTGCCATGGGGTGGGATTTACTGGCTGGTAAAGTAGCAGCAAGGAGGAACTTAATGCAACTGCTCTGGAAAAGTAAGTCACAAGTAATTCAGCTTGAGGAATCTTCTCTTTATGGTTATAAATCAGATGAGGTATTTCTCATTTTTATATTTCAGGTTTGCTTTGAGGTACTAGATATTTTTAGGGAGGAAGTTATTGATAAATATTTTTTTACTTCGACAGATGTCCTGTGTGGAACAACTTTGTGACACTCTATGTTATCAGCTTGATCTTGCCTCCTTTGTTGCCTTTGTTAATTCTGGTCGGTCTTGGAATTCAAAGTTCTCGTTAACACTATCTGGAAAAGGACAAATGACGTTGAGAGATGAAGATGCTTATTCTGACCCTTTCGTTGAGAACTTCGTGTTGGAAAGACTTTCTGTCCAAAGTCCTCTGCGGGTATAATATATCATATATACAGCATTGTGACCTGCAAGTTTGAATTTCTAGATTATCTTCATTTTGAAGGGTTGCCATTACTTATCAATAATTAATGACGTGAATGGCTTATAATATGTGTCTCTATATTACTCTTCTCCCTTAATATGTTCTTCCGACAATTTGCTTTAATGAATGGATTTTTTGTTCATCATCATGAACAGTGCTACAGAAAGCAGCGTTTCTGGGGTAGCCTGTCCTCAGTTTCTTTATAAAATAGAAGTGATACTAATTGTAAACACTTATATATATAAATAATGGGTCCAATGGACATATGAGCCTGGTTTTATAAGAGACGACAAGAGAGAGAGAGAGAGTCTACTAAGAAGCCACTCATAGAAAGGAGGCTTTATTTATTGCCCTATGATATTAGAATTATTCAGTTCCATCCATTTATGTTGACATTTTTGTACTAAAATGGTAAGGTTCCAATCCATTTTAATTTTGGCGCCAGCCCTAAACTCTGGCCTGGTGATTCGGGTTATCATCAGCTCCCAAAAAAAAAAAAAACTATGAAGAGCAAGTATACTTGACTAAGTGCCGTTCAAGAATACAGTTGGTTTTCTGTTTGATGATGTTGAAAATTATTGTAGACAGGCGCTCCAAACTTAAAATAGTGTTTCATTGCAATTTAATTTTCTGCTATAATTTGAAAAGAAAGTTATTTGACGAATTGTTAAGGATTAATATGCTCAGTGGAACATTTCAGAATTAATTTGAAATTTTTTTTTTTAATCTTGGAATGGAATGAAAGTTGGTTATTTTCATCATCTTTTATTAGGTGATTCTTTGAAAATATTTTGTTATGAAGATTTTTATTAAGTTCTCTTTCTTCTCTTTTATAAAAATTGTCCATTCGTATACATTCGAATTAATTTGCAGTGGCGTATAACATTTGGTAGAATGTGCAGAGATTTGTTCATTTGTCTAAGCAAGTATGTTGCATGTTCCCGTTGGGTGAAACTTAACTATTATCTTTCTTGCTAATTGGATAATTTGGATTTGTATCTCTATTGCTCCTCTGGAAGGTGTAAAATGTGAACAAAGATTCTTTTGGTTGGTCTAAGATGGTACTCATGGCATTAATTTAAAATAATTTCACGTCTTTACATATCTTTTGTCTTATGACTGGAAATATTTTTCTGTAGGTGCTATTTGATGTTGTGCCAGGAATAAAATTCCAGGAAGCCATTGAATTGATCAGTATGGAGCCAATTGCTTCCACTGTGGCTGCTTGGAAGAGGTGTGCTTGTCAATTTCCTTTCTGTTTTTTCTCCTCCTTTGATGCGATGTGCTGACATCTTGGTATCAACTCAGATATTACACATCGAAGTGCTGATTGTGACAAGTTATTGTTACCTACTATTTGGGCCGCAATAAGCCATTTTCCATTTGAGTTGTGATTTTTTAATTGCATCATAAACATTCGTTGCACTCACAAGAAATACCTGGATATATCAGATAGAATTTTTGGTTTGCCAACTCTTCCTGGTACCTTTGAAGACTCTGATTCTTGTAAGTTGCCCTCACGTGATAACCAGAAGATGACTATATCTAGAATAAAGTATCCTCCTTACTCCCTTATTTTAACTACTGGCTATTTGAGTTTCTAGCTTTAAAATATGAAATCTAGTTATTCAAGATGGATTACAGATATGTATCAAAGTACCCATACCCTATGGGTACCCTATAAAACTTACCCGCTTGATAGTCTGGAGATTTTAGTGGGCATTTCAAGGGTCTGGGTTGTTGTACTATGTGTGCGTGTGTTTGTGAATTAGGTGGACTCTCCATGCATTGCATGATCCTGAGAAATAAATTGCACTATTTATGACCTGTCATGCAGCTTGCTATAGATTATGATATTAAAATTTAGTCATAATTTATATGCATTAATCAATATAGTCCGATGGGAAAAAAATCAATATAGTACATTATATAGGATTTTTTTTTTCTTTTTTAAAATCAAACAGCATTGTATGGGTTTCGAATTATTTTGTTTGTGATTTTACAAGTCTTAGGTAAATGAATTTCAACTCGAGAGAAACTTGCTCAGTTTTAAAATTTCCAGGCAAGTGGGTTCTTGTCTGGGGATTCAAGAACTCAATGGGGACAGGGAATCCACCCCGGGGGTGGGGTGGCTGAATTTAGGTTCTGGGATGGTGATTGTAGTGCCCATCCTATGATATATCTGCTGACCTTTTTGGTTAAGGAAGGATGGAAGTTTCTGTGCGTATGGCATTAAATGTCCGCTAGTACTAATTTATAACATTATTCTGCTGGACCTACAACTTTTGTGAAAAATTTGATATTAAAGTATCAACATGCTCTGTTTCTTTTCACTTCAAAACAATATAATTTGTTTTAACCTATGATATGAAACTATCTGCATTCTATAGATTGTTTCCTTCCATTATCTTTAGGTTATTTTGCCTTTGGTGTTCATTTTCTTTGTTGGTTTTTCTTCATGAACCATATGATTGACATAGGATGGAAGATGTGGAACTCATGCACATGCGTTACGCTCTGGAGTCAACTGTTCTTGCTTTGGGAGCTATGGAAAGGAGCATTTCTGATGAAAAAGAAGCTAATCAACAAGTGGCATTATTTCATTTGAAAGATCTGCGTAATCATTTGGATTCCATCAATAATCTTCCTCGCAAGGTTATTCTTTTATGACTGATTTTGTCACATTTTTGCTCCATGGTTGCCTTCTCAGGATGTTAAAAATTGTGAGTGGTTTCTTTTTCATATAGTTATGTTTTGCAAGTCCAGTTGATAATTGCCATCTGGCTTATGTTAATTGTCTGGCCAGTAATAATGCCATATGTTGTAGTTTATAGTTTTTTCTTTTTTCTGTCTTTTATATTCCTTACTTTTATTTTTAAATATGATGAGACCATATGCCGTCTCTGACTCGTTCGGGCACTTGTTTTTCTCAAAATAAATGTAGAAAAGTTCATATAGGATATATAATGCCATGTGTCGTTTCCCAGATATTGTAAAATTAATCAAATAGGATCAGTGGCATTCTTCTGCATTATCTACGATCTCTTTAAATCTGTTTTGAATTAAAATACTTTTTATCTTGTAAGCTCTGGTTTGAGGAGTTCGAAGACTGTTTAGTGATTCTTTTTTTTTTTCCCCTCCCCTGTTGTGTGTCACATATGTATCTAACACACTTTTTTGTGATTATGCAGATCTTTATGGTGAATGTCATAATTTCGCTCTTGCACATAGATAATCTCTCTCTCAATTCAATGCATTGTCCATCCCCAGGCAGTGATTCTAAATGGTCCGATACATTCTCTACTGAACATGGTGACTTGATTAAATGTGAAGGGGGGAATAAAATGGTTATATCTTTCACTGGGTTACTACTTGATATATTGCGCCATAATATATCATCTGTGATTGAGTTAGAGAGGACATTAGATGACAGTCTTAGCACAGCTAGCATACAAGCTCTGGATTGGAGAATTTCAATTGCAAAGCGTTTCACTGAAGAATGGGAATGGCGTTTGTCAATATTGCAGCATCTTCTACCATTTTCAGAGCGGCAATGGAGATGGAAGGAGGCATTGACAGTATTACGTGCTGCCCCTTCCAAGCTGCTTAACCTGTGAGTAATGCCAGTACCGATCTATTGTGATTGATTTTTTAACGTTTAGTTAGAAGTTGTGTGTATCCTTGGTTAGCTTCTCTTTTCTCTATCTTGCGCTGTAATGTTGTTTGCATGAAATTTGACACATGAAACTTGACTATCTGCTGTCATTCAATTAGTTTTGTCACTTCTGAAGAAGATTTAATAATTTACATAATTTAAACTTTAGCCTGTTTTGGGGAGTTTCTTTGATGGTTTTACTATGAGATTGGGTTGCGTTTTTCCAGTTGGATTTTTTTTCCCGAGTTGTGCGTGTACAGAAATTCAGTGTTGATGATCATGTGAACTTATTGCTTATATCATAGATGGAACATGCATGATGTTGATGACAAAGAGAGCTCAAGAGTCTAATGTTAAACACTCCTAAATAAAACACACACTTAAACTAATCTCATCCAGCCAAAATAGAACAATTAAGCCAATCCTAAATGCGTAGAAGCATTGTTCAAAAAATAACTTGGAAAATCTTTATTAAAATGAAATAAAAGCTTAATGAAAGTGATGCAGAAGAACATTTAATCTCCCACATCCCTCCTGAAGTTGGATATTCGCATCTTCAAGTTTTGACTGAGTACTGATGAAATACAATCACTGCCATGTAGTTCCATCTTTCTCTCTCTGCTCTGTACCAGTGACTCCTCTGGATAGAGTTTACTAATAATTTTTAGCACAGATCTGTTATCTGGTTGTACCATTGAGTATAAGGTTGTTGTTACATCATCTTTTTGTTATTGCTTATGGTCTTTTGAATAGGTATCTTCTCTCACCTTCTGATATATTCTTATCCAAAGGAAGTGGAGCTATATGGTCATTCATATTGGTTCCATTATTCTCACATCCATCAATATCATATACATTGATATGTAAATTTTTTATAAATGAAGCCATGATTTGATAGATTTCTTATAGTTTTATATAGATATATCATATCTTATATAAATAATGTTTCCTATCTAAATAATATTCTATAAATAATAGAGTAAACTGATCTTTCCTTGTGTTCTGAAAGATATTGAAAATTAAAAATGATTCGTTTGTTTGGACTTGGAATAAACCTTTCTCTGCGGAGTGGAGCTATTTGGAGATGCATATTGTTTCCATTATATTTATGGGCTGAACTAAGTTTGTTTCCAATATAATATTGGGGTTTTCTATCTATATTTCTTTGAATGTTTTTAACTGGCATAAATTTGCCCGTGTAATAGGGAATTATGTTTTAATACGCAACTGTTAGACGCTAGTGCGGAAGCCTAAATTGTGAGTTGTAAATATTGTTGCAGCCCAGATACTAACAGTTGCTGAATAATTGATTTTAATTTTTCGCATCTTTTTTTCTGCAGTTGCATGCAAAAAGCAAAGTTTGATATTGGAGAAGAAGCAGTCCATAGATTTTCATTATCTGCTGAAGATAAGGCTACCCTCGAGTTAGCTGAATGGGTAGATAGTGCCTGCAGAAAAGCATCTGTATGTTGTGTATTTCATTTGACTCTTCTCATGTCACACTTGACCTTATTGGCACGTTAAAATTTTTTATCGCTTCTAGATCTTTAGTTTGGGCCATCGACCTTAAAAATAGTAGAGGCTAGAACAGCTAAATATAAAATACTTGATGAGAGGCAGTGAAAGTGCAATGTAGTGACAACCATGCATTGTGCGCATCTCATTTGATATTCTTATTTTCTAGGCTCTTGGGAGATTTTTTCCAGTGTTTCTTCCTATCTATTTTGATGTAAATATTCTAGTTTTCTCAAGTAGAGGTCACTTTTACTTGGGATAATCTTTTGGTAGTCAGGGAGTATGTTGCTTGGGGATCTATTCTTTCCTTGTTTTATTCTGTGTGGTCATTGCCATGGTTATTATGGAAAATGACCACTCTGACCATTGGTCTGTACAACTTGGCTTCCCACCTTGCACTCCATTTTACGTTGTATTGATTGATTTAGTAGTGGCACTCTCATTAGATATTGTCATTTTAAATGATCTGTTCTCTTGCTTTGTGTGACCGTCATAAATTCTATCTTCTCAGCTAAGTAATCATGATTGAAGTTAAAAAGAGTATATCCTTGTGGATATTCAGATGGATTGGGAAGCTCTTTGAGCTAGTCCTTTTTTCCCAATTGTTTTTCTATTTGTTTGGGGAGGATTCTTGTCCTCAGTTTTTGTACTTTCTTGTACGTTCTATCATGTCTAATTTTCTTTTTCTATCCAATTGATTACACACACACACACATATCTGCTTCTCTATGCAGGTAGATGATGTGGTGTCCCGTGTGCAGGATCTAGATTTTTCCTTGTTGCGCTCTCAATTAGGTCCTGTGGCTGTAGTAAGTGCCTAAATTTCGTGTGAAGGGGAAAAGTTTTCTTCCTATATGATTAGTTGTGATTAAAATGCATTTCTTTACAGATTCTTCTCTGTATTGATGTCGCTGCAACTTCTGCGAGGACTGCAAAGATGTCACAACAACTTCTGAATCAGGTGACTTTTTGTACAGGTCACAGGTGACACTCAACTAAGTTCATTGTTTAAAAATAAATTATATGAAATATTGATGAAGGGGAAGGAGTAAAGGAGAAGATGTTCTTCTTTACAAAGGCATAATAACTAAATATAGCTGGAAGCAGAAAGAACCTGATGTAAAAAAAAAAAAAAATTTTTGGGGGGGGATGAGGGAGAGATAGAAAGAAAGGGGGAAACGTAGAAGAAATTGAAGGAGAAAGAGGATTCAAATATTCAATCGGTGTTCAAATCATTATAGTAGTCTGACAAATGAAGAAACTCAAGGTATATATATTGAACTTTATTCTTAAACCTGGTTAAAATGGTAGTCCTAAAAGATAGTGTTAAATTTTATTCAAATTAAAAACAAACTAAATCAGAAGATCAAATAAGATAGGATAATCATGATAAAAAATAAATTTATTTAAAAGATAATCTAAATCCTAAGAATTTGAAATAAAGATAAGTAGACAACTAATATAGAGTCTAATCAAATCTGGAGCTTTCCTATTCCTAGTAGGAGTCTCCTGTTTTCGGTCATTCTTCACAACAATGAATTCTGCCAGTTAGCGTTGCATGTAAGCGAGAGGAATTTCTTCAGAGAGACCATGGGTTACACAATCTAACCCATAATAAGTTTAAGTAGAAAGCTGCATGTTGATAATTACAAGCACTCTCTGCATGCTAATATGCTAAATAATAATGGTACAAGCAGCCTGCTGTCATGACTGTAAAATCCTTGATGATGGATGCAGCTGCTGCAGTGGACAGTACGAAAGCAATTAGGTAACCACTTTCATGTTAGAACCACACATAAACCACATAGGAGAGGAGGGAGCTTTTAATGATGGATGAATATTTGAAATGTCATTTGTAAATTATTTCAAATGAAAGACTTAACCCTTGAAGGAGTGTTCGATTTACAAAGAGGCCATTGATAGGAAATACCTTTCCATTCAAACTGTGAGAAAAAGGCCACAAAAATTAGCTCACACGCATTGAAACCCTCCTATCCTAATTAGAGATTTATAAAAAAAAAATTGAAATTGAGGAAGAATTCAAGGGCTTTTGATAACAAACTCCAAATAATGGGTTTGATTTTGGCATCATTATCAACAGCTTAAGTTGATCAAATCTTTTTCATCAGTTGTAAAATATCCTCGTTACTGTTCATGCTTGCATCTTGTTGTCTGTATTCTCAATGCATGCCTTCTTTATTGCCACAGGCTTTTTGACTAGACTACTTGATACGCAGGCTCAAATTATATTATCTGAGATCTATCCTGGAGGATCTCCCAAAGCAGGCTCTACTTATTGGGATCAGATCCTTGAAGTGGGTGTAATATCTGTTTCACGGCGTCTTCTGAAGCGGCTGCATGAGGTCCTGGAGCAGGTTAGTGCTTATTGTTATTCAGAGTCATTTTCAAGGAATCGTGTCTGTCATTCATAAAGACTCCCTTTTCTGGTTTTAAGTGCTGAGGAAGTTTGGGACCCATCTTTTCTGCTTAAATAAACATTTCTCCCTCAAAGATTGAGCATTTCTCTGCTTTCTAATGTGCCTATGAGCAGAGTATAGAATTGAATGGTTTGGGAATATCTTTCATCATCTTTTCATTCTAATATTTTCTCGTGTATCTTCAATGAAAATTGTGTCCAATTTTGTCCCTATACTTTTGTCAGCATATTTGAGCGAATATCCATTCTGTGATGACCTATATGATCTTCTTGTCATACTATTTTGTGATCTTCTGCTCCTCTAGGACAACCCTCCAGCCCTTCAGGCTATCCTGTCTGGGGAAATTTTCATCCCTTCATCAAAGGAGATGCAACGACGAGAACAGAAGGAGCGTGCCCTTGCTCTTCTACATCAGATGATTGAAGATGCTCACAGGGGCAAGCGACAGTTTCTGAGTGGTACCTCTTCTTTGGGCATTTTTATTGACAATATTTTGGGTCTTCTATTTCTCCCTTTATCTTGGATATTTTGGGATGGTGAAGTTTCTTTACCGAGCACTACTGTGACTTCAACATGGCTTCATACTGTGGCATTGTAGGTAAGCTTCATAACCTTGCTAGAGCTGTTGCTGATGAAGAGACTGAATCAAGTACTACTAGAGGCGAAGGGCTGCATGCTGAACGGAGTGTTAATACAAACAATGAGAGGGACATTGTGCTCGGTCTTGGATTAAGAGTTGTTAAGCGATTAACTTCAAGTGCAGGAGAAACTGGCATGCAGTCTGTTGGTTATGATATAAAAGATCCTGAGAAGAGAATATTTCGTCCCTTGAGTGCCAAACCCATTACATATCTGTCACAGTTCATTCTTCATGTTGCTGCAATTGGTGACATAGTTGATGGAACTGATACTACTCATGATTTTAATTTTTTCTCTGTCGTGTATGAGTGGCCTAAGGATGTAAGGTTCTCAAACTATAGGAATTTATTTAATATGGTTCATTGTGACGCTAGTTTGCCATGATAATGACTATACTGTGCACATCCGGCTGATTTAATTTTTCTACGTCTTCTTCTTGCAATATCTAATTCCATAATCATAATGTATTTTGTATCTATCTTTGCCGATCAAAATTATGCAAAATTTTTAGAGAAGTATTTATGTTCTATTTCAATATGCTCGAAATACAATAGTGATAATAACTGTAATTTGTGACTATTCTAGCCAACCACAACATTTCTATCCACATTTAACTAAGCCAATCATCTACTGATATTAGGTTCCTCGCATGCTTAACAATCTTTTCATCAAATTAGGCTTCAGCATCTTTAAATAAAGTTTGATGCTTTAGGGCACTGTCCTTTGATATTTTATGTTTACATTTCTTGTTCTTTTTTTTGCCCCAGCTTTTGACTCGACTGGTCTTTGAAAGAGGCAGTACTGATGCAGCTGTGAAAGTATCTGATATTATGGGTGCTGATTTTGTACATGAGGTGATTTCTGCATGTGTGCCTCCAGTCTATCCTCCACGATCTGGGCATGGTTGGGCATGCATTCCAGTTGTTCCTGCCTTTTCTAAGAGTGGCTCTGACAACAAAGTCCTGTCTCCCACTTCAAAAGATGCAAAGCCAAATTGCTATTCTCGTTCTTCAGCAACTCCTGGTGTTCCTTTATATCCTCTGCAGTTGGATGTTGTGAAACATTTGGCAAAAATATCGCCAGTGAGGGCTGTCTTGGCTTGTGTGTTTGGAAGTAGTATATTGTACAGTGGCGGTGATTCTTCAATTTCAAGCTCCTTAAATGATGGGTTACTGCATGCTCCTGATGCTGATAGACTGTTTTACGAGTTTGCTCTTGATCAATCTGAGAGGTGGCACCCCTTATTCTGTCTCTATGAGTTGCCATTGAAACTATCTTACTTTGAGATATACAGGCTCGGATTATCATAATTAATCCTTTTTTATTGACCTCATTAATCAGGCATTTATTAGTACCTTGTTTTGAATGTGTTTCTGTTTTGGTAAGCAAGGTTTTGATGCCACGTGGAAGCATGCCTTGTTATTGTGATTCTTGTGTTTATGGATGTAATAATATTGGAGTTTATCATCAGACTTCTCTTCACGTCTGTTCTCATGACAAAGTTGTTTTCTTGGCTTCATTATGGGCGCCAGTTCATGGGTTACTGTTTTTTCTTTTTCTTTTGGGGGTTGGTTTTCCTTACGGATTTCCAAAGCCATTGAAGAATTCTCGAGTGAATTCCTTTTCTTTTAATTCCTACATTTTTTTTTTGCTTTGCTTGTTATTTGAGTATTGTTAGCTTATCATTCCTTGGATAGTTATTCTATGTAAATTCCGCATCATTGTATCTTAAGCTAAACAGTTTTCACCGTATAAATGTATGCAACAAAGGCCTTCCTTTGTCAAAGATTTTCAAATTATACTCTCTCCCTTTAGTTTTTTTGTTTATTCCCCTCTTTTGTACTTTTCCTTAATAATTTCCTTTTTATCCAATAGAAATTAAGACGCAAAGTCGCATGGCATCTATAAGGATGACTAGATATTATATTTAATTTCCTTTCTTGATGTACAGGTTCCCCACACTAAACAGATGGATACAAATGCAGACTAACCTCCATCGAGTTTCAGAATTTGTTGTAACTTCTAATCACACAACTGATGAAGAACTTGAAGCAAGAACTTCCGTTAAGAGAATTCGTGAACAGGACAGTGACACAGAGTCAGAAGTTGATGAGTTTGTTGGTAGCAGTACTGTTCCAATAGGTTTGGCAGACCTAAATAACCAAGGGGTTGAAGCTGCAGACCCTTGGCATGACTCTCCAAAATCTGAAGCTGCTCAACTTGACACCACAGTGTTCCTTTCTTTTGATTGGGATAACGAAGAGCCCTGTGAGAAGGCTGTGGATCGGTATTATAGTTAATTGCCCAGTTCTTTCTGTATAATTTCCTGTTTTCAGTAAGTTATGGCATTATGCTTACATTAGATGAGGGCCTATCAACCAAACAAGATCTGTTCATACACTATCTATTGTTGCGAGTGCTTTGTATTTCTGAGAGTATTTTTCTGTACATCAGTATCTGTTAATTTAAATTTAGCTTCATTCAAGCAACGTCTTTAACCTTCCATTATTTATACTTTATCATAGGCTTCATATTAATTCAGTTATTTTCACTTTTAATCAGATTGCAATTATTTGATATATTTATTAGTGTTGAGTTAGACCAGAAAAGGGAGAAGTTGAAAAGCTGTTATATTACTGAAGTTTATTTGTTGTTCATTGTACAGCCTTACCTACTAAATTATATCTTGGTCCACTGCAGATTTATGATTTTTCTTGTATTTTCATGGTTCAGTAGTTTCCATGTGTTAATTGTTATCACTTCTCTCTCTCAAGCAATGTCTAATTTATGAAATAATTTTTTTCCTCGTCTTTTGTAGACTAATTGATGAAGGAAAGCTAATGGATGCCCTCGCACTTTCAGACCGCTTTCTACGTAATGGAGCTTCTGATCGGCTTCTTCAACTACTCATTGAACATGAAGAAGACAACCAATCAATCTCTGCACAACGACAAGGATACAGAGGACATAGTATGTGGAGCAATAGTTGGCAGTATTGTCTGAGGCTGAAAGACAAACAGCTGGCGGCCAGACTTGCCCTGAGGTGTGTTAAGTCTTGTAGGAAATTGCATATGTGTGTACGCGCACACGCATGATATAATGTTTACTCCTGTGACTGGCACTTTTACTTATCATAATTGCATTATCTGAGGTTTGCCTTGTCCTACAATGTCATCCTCAAGTCTCAAATTTGAAAAATTTTCTCTAGGTATGTGCACAGCTGGGAATTGGATGCTGCTTTGGATGTTCTCACAATGTGCAGCTGCCATCTACCTCGAAGTGATCCAATCATGACTCAGGTGCTGTACCTCTATTTTTTAAATTATTATTATGCTAATATAATTATTGTTATTACTATATTCCCTATTAGGGCCTAATATTGTGTGTTCTAATGTTGCTTTAATGCTGGTGGTTTCACCTATTTCTTGTACTAGCTGACACTGTTCTTTGAAATGTTTAGGTTTTGCAAATGAAACAAGCTTTGCAGAGGTACAGTCACATATTAAGTGCAGATGATCACTATACAAGCTGGCAAGAGGTAGTATTTTCTTATTGGAATTGTAAGATGTCATGCATGAAGACGGTGCCTATCTTAACTTAGTTTTGTAATATTTATTCCCTAACAAATTAAATCCTCCATCTATTTTTGTAGAATTCAATTGGAACCGCTGGAAAATGTTTAAAACATGTTTTCATTTTTCTTCTATAGAAATGCATTTTTCCAAGAGACCTTTTTCATATGGTAACCTATGTCTCCTTTGAAAATTCTTTGATAGGTTGAAGCAGATTGCAAGGAAGATCCTGAGGGACTGGCCCTTAGGTTAGCTGGGAAAGGAGCTGTTTCTGCTGCATTAGAAGTGGCAGAAAGTGCAAGACTGTCAGTTGATTTAAGAAGAGAGTTGCAAGGGCGGCAGCTTGTGAAGCTTCTAACTGCAGACCCTCTTAATGGTGGCGGACCAGCCGAAGCTTCACGGTTTCTCTCCTCATTACGTGACACAGATGATGCTTTGCCGGTGGCTATGGGTGCAATGCAGCTATTGCCCAATCTGCGGTCAAAGCAACTTCTTGTAATCAAACATTTCATCTGCATCTTTACCTTTGTTTAATTATAAACTGCTTACAGTTCTATTTGGAATTTTAGAATTCCATTTTCATCTCAGTGATGGTTTCTCCACAATAATTGAAGGTTCACTTCTTCCTGAAGCGGAGAGAAGGAAATCTGTCTGCTGTTGAGATTTCTCGGCTTAATTCATGGGCGTTAGGCCTTCGCGTTCTTGCTGTCTTGCCCGTACCATGGCAACAGAGATGCTCTTCCCTGCATGAGTATCCTCATCTGATTTTGGAAGTGCTCTTAATGAGGAAACAATTGCAATCTGCTGCACTGGTATTGTGGTTGTCACTACATGATTAGCAACTTTTTAGTAATGTGCTTGTTTTGATTTTTAGTCTAAATTTTCAAGCATATGTGATGCCTCCTTGTATGTGTGGATTTTGTTTCTCATGAGTATACAATCTGATGCATTATCAATATCTCAGTTATTTTTCTAGATTATTTTTGTTTATTCTCCATGTGATATTTGACTTATTTCTGTAGATATTAAAGGAATTTCCTTCTCTACGAGACAGCAATGTGATTACTGCATATGCAACTAAGGCCATTGCTGTTAGTATTAGCTCGCCTCCTAGAGAACATCGGATATCTGTCTCGGGATCCAGACCAAAGCCAAAAACAAGATCAGTTGTCCCTCCACGGTCATCTTTCACGAGCAGTCTTAGTAATTTACAAAAAGAGGCTCGAAGGGCTTTTTCATGGGCTCCAAGAAATACTGTGGAAAAAAATGCTCCAAAAGATGTTTATAGGAAAAGAAAAAGTTCTGGATTGTCACCATCTGATAGAGTCACTTGGGAGGCAATGACTGGAATTCAAGAAGATCGTGTTTCATCATTTTCTACTGATGGCCAAGAGCGGCTTCCTTCTGTTTCCATTGCAGAGGAATGGATGCTTACAGGTGACCCAAATAAAGATGGAAGTATCCGTTCATCTCATCGATATGAAAGTGCCCCTGACATCACACTGTTCAAGGTATGATTGTGAGTTGATCAGAATATTGGATATGGCATATCTGCATTTATAAGTAATGACTGATAAGTGAAATTCATTGTAATTACAAAACATTGGTAGCAACAACATTGTAAAACTGAATGGTGTCTGCAACAATGAAATAAAAATCTTTTATGGTTTACCATGTTAATATTTCATATGCCTTAAATGCTTGGCTCTTCTCTCTGTAGGCACTGCTTTCTCTGTGTTCTGATGAATCAGTTTCTGCCAAAATTGCCTTAGCTTTGTGCGTTAATCAGATGAAGAATGTCTTGAGCTCACAGCAAGTGCCCAACAGTGCATCGATGGAAATAATTGGGCGTGCATATCATGCCACAGAGACATTCGTGCAGGTAGTTCATGGGATTGGTAATGAAGTAATTATTGATCATGTTCTGTCAAATGTCAATTATCTTCTGGGAAACGTGTTTGCTTTTCTAGCATACATAAGATGATGGCATCATTTGTCATAGCCGTTGTGATCATTTATCTTTTAAGGAAAAGAAGTGATTCTTATATTGCATTTTTAGGGTCTACTTTATGCCAAGTCTCTGCTAAGAAAGCTCATGGGAGGCGTTGAATTGCCAAGTAGTTCTGAAAGAAGTAGGGAGGCTGATGACACATCATCTGATGCTGGTAGCTCTAGTGTGGGTAGTCAATCCACAGATGAGCTATCAGACCAAATGTCACTGGTGGATATGTGGTTGGGACGTGCAGAGCTGCTTCAGAGTCTTTTGGGATCTGGAATTGCTGCTTCTCTCGATGACATTGCTGATGGAGAGTCATCTGCCCAGCTGCGTGACAGGTTGATCATGGAAGAAAGGTACAGCATGGCTGTGTATACCAGCAAAAAGTGCAAGGTAGATAATTTATCTGACATCTTTTTAACCACTAGAACTGTTAAATCTTGGCGATTAACACTGGCCTGTTATAGATTGATGTCTTTCCGGTATGGAATGCCTGGGGACATGCATTAATTCGTATGGAGCACTATGGACAAGCTCGTGTGAAGTTTAAGTATGTGAAATTTCTTTTTCTGTGAAATTGCTTTTATGTTTCAGCGCAGCGCCTCAAAGTCACTCTCAAAATTTTTAAGCATGCCTTGTGTAGAAAGGCATGAGCATGGTCTTAAAGCACAGATTTATATTATTACTTATTTCATTTCAGGCAAGCTCTTCAGGCGTACAGGGGCGATCCTGGGCCTGTAATTTTGGAGATTATTAACACTATTGAAGGTGGTCCCCCGGTCGATGTTTCAGCAGTTCATTCAATGTAAGATCTTATGCATTTATTGCAGTTGTATTTTTCTGTAACCACTAGGATTATCTTTAGCCAAAGGCTTAGCCTTCAATGCTGCATCAGTCTCCAAGCTTCATAGACAACAAGACCTAATGAATGCTTGTTATGCTGCAGGTATGATCATTTTGCTAAAAGTGCTCCAACAATCTTGGATGACTCTCTTTCAGCTGATTCATATCTCAATATCCTGTACATGCCATCAACATTTCCACGTTCAGAGAGGTCAAGACGGTCTCAGGAATCTACAAGTAATTCTATATATAGTCCAGACTTTTATGATGGTCCTCGGAGCAACCTGGATAACGCCCGATACAATGAATGTGTTACCTACTTACAAGAGGTGATCATTATTCTCATCTGTATCAATTATGATAAACAAATGCCATTTGTGATTCACCTAATTTTGTTTTATTGATATAGCCAGGAATTTTTGTGGAGTATGTAAAATATTCTTTCTGGGCTTCTATTAAGTCTTCTAAATTTTTTTATTGTTTTCAAAACAAAAAAAAATCTTCTTAGTGGATTTTGGCTTTTCTTTATTTCTTCTCCTCTAAAATGTTCAGCTGCATTTTTTTTCCTTTATTCTTGGCATCTTTTATATATGTTTAGAATGCCTTGTCTCTTTGCAATTTGGTGCTAATTTTGGATTTCTTCATTCTGGTTTTTAATTTGCAGTATGCACGTCAACATTTGCTTGGATTTTTATTTAGGCATGGTCATTACCAGGATGCTTGCTTGTTATTCTTTCCTCTTGATGCTGTTGCCCCACCCCCACAGCTGTCAATAATCAGTGGGGTTGCTTCGTCTCCTCAAAGACCAGATCCTTTAGCTACTGATTATGGAACAATTGATGATCTGTGTGACTTCTGCATTGGTTATGGTGCTATGCCTGTTTTGGAGGAAGTCATTTCAACAAGAATATCATTAGCCAAACCACAAGATTTAGTAGTGGATCAGTATACGGCGACAGCCCTTGTCCGTATTTGCATCTATTGTGAAACCCACAAGCATTTCAATTATTTATACAGGTTTCAGGTAATTTTTCTTACTCATTTCATGTATTCATTTAAATATAGAACAACAACAACAAGCCTTATAAAATTTCTGCTATCGATGCTTCTGTGTATTTCTTTTCACCCCTGGAAACTGATCAATGAAAATCCAAATTGGGTGTTTGTTAATGACAATGCATGAATATTGTTGCTCTAAATATATGTATAAGCTAACATTTTTAATATCCTGCTTTGAGCTTAGAGATAGCGCAATTGTTGAGGGATTAATTGCAGATTAGAGGATGAATCCGGATAGTTGAAAATAAATTAGGAAATAATTAGATTTGTAAACCATGATAAAAAAATTATCTTAAATAACGCATTATGGCAAACGAGCTTTTGAATACAAGATGCCAAAATAGAAACATTACAAATCCGGAATAAAATACAATTAATTGACCAAGAAGAGTATTTTCTCCCCCTCATTCTCTTTCCTTACTTTCAATCACTCTCTTTCGCCTTATTACATATAGTCCGATACCTCATACCCTTATTGGAATACTCTGAACCAAAATAGAGGCAGGAAGGCATGAAGAAAGCTCAAATATGGCATCATGCATGGACAGAAACAAGCTTATTTGCTTAGGTGAGCCTTACAAGCATTTGCTTCAATGAAGAGAAATGGTGAGTGATTCGGGCTGTTGGAGATTTCAAATAGAAAGGGTTCTGGGAAAAGGTTCCATGAAGAGAAGTGATAGGTGGAGAACAATTCTGAATTGATTTCCTCAATAATTATTTTACCTCTTTAAGCTCAAAGCAGGATGTTACATTGATAATTATTGAGAGTTGTCATTTTAGTCCTGCTACTAATATCAATATGGCTTTGTGCTTTTTGTCATCCTTCTGATGTTTGATCCCGATCATTACTTTCCATGTGTATCAAATTTATATTGTAAATTAAAAATGATTGTCTGACTTGTATTTTTCAGCATGGAACATGTTTTCCCAGGGCCATAAAATATGGACCATATCGTAAATTTGTATTGTAAATTTGATATGTTTTGACGTTTTAAATTGTAGTTTTTAATAAGTGAGATATTTCGGTTTTCTAACAATTGCCCATACACAGGTAATTAAGAAGGACCATGTTGCTGCTGCACTCTGCTGTATTCAGTTATTTGTTAATTCTTCTTCACAAGAAGAAGCTATTAAACATTTGGAACATGCTAAGGTATGCTTGTAATTTAACAAGGGAACATTAGGAGGGGAACTTGCATGCAGAAGATTTAGGCAAAAAATGAATATGAATTTATCTGAATTGTTTGATGCCATCGCTGATTCAAAAGAGGATTAAATACGTGACCTCAGCAAAACAGAAAAAGAGAAAGAACTTGAATAGAAAATTAATCATCTGTGATATGTACAATTTAAACTAATCGGAACTTGTATGATTAACCAATAAGAAACGATTAAGCACCCTGATAAATTCTATCTTCTTTACCATTTGGTTGATCCTGTATAGGAGTTTGACGGCTTTGATACTTTATATGGCCTCCATTCAGTGCTTAGCACATGAATAAGGGAATCACTCCATCTGATGTACAGAGATCAGAGAGCACTTTTGTTCCTATAGGTTTTCTATTATTGTGCCTGTTTTGAGCCTTGTATTTTCTGTTCAGAGGCTATTTTGTCCTCCAGCTAGTCATGCATTTTTCTCCATCTAATAGAATTTCACACACATGTACACGCAGAGAAAGTGAGAGACTAGGTATTGAACATATTTCTGAATGATGAGTTTACATTTTTCCGACTATAAATTCTTTTAAAGTCCCATTCTTTTAACTTCAGAGCATTATACACAGTAACGAATGGAAAACAAGAACAAGTGGATGGTAGACACATCTGTTTTTCTTAATAAACAAGACTGACATATTTTGTTGCCTTCGTTATCCTTAAACTATCACAATTTCATACCTTTGATTCACTTAACCTATTCTTTGTTAACACCCCCCCCCCAAAAAAAAAAAAATTGATGCAGATGCATTTTGATGAAGGATTGTCAGCCAGACATAAAGGTGGTGGCTCTACCAAGCTTGTAACAAAAGGTCTAAGAGGGAAAAGTGCCTCTGAGAAGCTCTCTAAGGAAGGTCTTGTCAAATTTTCTGCTCGGGTATCAATCCAGGTAATTGGACATGCGCAGTATGCTAAACATAGTTTTTCTTCATCAACTAATTCGTTGAGGCTAGAAAGAAAGTAAATAATTTGCTGAGATGAAGATTGGGGAGACAATTTTGGATAGTTTTGGACTAAATGCACATTGCTTTGAAAGAGCACGCCAACATGTATAGTTTTGGACTAAATGCACATTGCTTTGAAAGAGCGCGCCAACATGCATGCTTAAACACAGTCATGTTAATGTTGGCCGTTTTGAATTAGAATGGCCTATTTGTATGTCCTTGAACTTACCAAACAATCCACCGCGGGATGGCCATTTCTTTCTCTTTGCCTAATTGGATAAGTCTTTTCAGATTTTGCCAAGTTTAATGTGTTATGATTACTTTATTTCTCAAAAACAGCAATGTAAAAACAATGACATATATTTGAATCGGAGTCATGAAATTCGAATTCCAGCCAGACCCTTCAATTAGGGGAAGTGATTCATTGGATGTAGTTTCAATTCCAGTGAAATAAGTTTTCTAAGTGTGTCTTCTTTTTTCTTTTTCTTTTTTGTTTTGTTATTTTTAAGAACTGTTCTTCAAGCACATCATTTCGAATGTGCCCATATTCTGATGTGTAATGACATGTAAAATCCTCTCTTTATTCTCAAGCTTCTTGTCTGCTGATTATATTTTGCAGGTTGCAGTTGTTAAATCCTTTAATGATCCAGAAGGCCCACAGTGGAAATATTCGCTTTTTGGGAATCCAAACGAGTTAGAAACTTTTAGGTTTGTCCCTTCATTTTACTTATTAATCTTAAAGCATACATTATTGTATATACTGACCATCAGTCTGTCTGCTGGGACGCAGTAAAATATACTTAATATGTGGCTTTTATGTGGCTTAGTCTTTAAAGTGGTCTTTGAATGTTCTCAAGGTCATTTATCATCATAGGGCTCTAACACCACCTAAGACTACTCCATGTATGCCACTATTATTTATTTTATCAATCACATGTCAATGTTTTCAATTGTAGTAGGTGCTATTTTAGCAGTTTATACTTCATATAATGATAATAATACCTCAAACCTGCTCATGATATTTTGAATTTTAGGCGAAGGTGTAAGATTGCAGAGATCCTTGTGGAGAAGAATTTTGATTTGGCATTCCAAGTGATCTATGAATTCAATCTTCCTGGTAGGCTGATAATTCCCTCTTCAGTCTGGTCTTTATATCTTCAATTTCGCTACACTGATTTTGAATGGAGAGGTTATGTTGTTGGCACAGTCAGCCTGACGTTTTTGTTGTGTCATGCAGCTGTTGACATATATGCTGGTGTTGCTGCATCTCTTGCTGAAAGAAAAAGAGGCAGCCAGTTGACAGAATTCTTTAGAAACATCAAGGGCACAATAGATGACGATGATTGGGACCAGGTAATCAAGTGAATTTTCTTTTACTCTTCTAGTAACTAGCAAAAAAGGAGATTATTTGCCGTGTTGATGGAACTCAATTTGGTCCAGAATATTATACCACTGGTGGAAGTGAGATTTTTGGAAACTTAAAGCAATTTTCATGCAATATCTCAAGTGCCAGAGCTTAATGCTGAAGCCTATTATACTTGTTCAACAGATTTAGGAAAACACTTAGAATCTTCGTAAATAATCTTAAAAAAGTGTTACCATTGAATGAACGTCTTTCGAGTTTAGAGTGCAGTGCATGAACACTTCTTATAGCTGTATCCCTAGTGTAGTGGGAATCCTAATGCATCTTAGGGATGAATGGTGAGAGCACTCTTCATTGAAATATGGATGTGGCATGTATATTGATCAGCTTAATATTGCAAAAGTACGCTGCGAAATTAAGATGTTCCCTTTCTTTCTAATCAAGTTTGGTCCTGTGTGGGGGAAATAAATATCGCTATTGATTGCAAAAATGCCTATGTTTGATAATTTTAAGTGACATGTAAATGTTTTGAGCGTTATAGGTCTTGGGTGCTGCAATAAATGTATATGCTAATAAGCACAAAGAACGTCCAGACCGTCTAATAGACCTGTTAACTAGCAGCCACAGGTAAGGATTTCATGTTTCCCTTGTATCATTCGTGCACTTTGGATTATTCTATTATTTGGAAATTTTTTTCATAGAAAAATTGTGTGCTTTGTCTTGATATCATTCACACTCAAACGCATATTTATACAAAATAGGATTTCTGATGTTATTTTATCATGTATCGTTCTCATCCTCATTTTAAAAGGGTGTTCTACACTGTCTATTGTCATATATCTTATGCGCGACGACATCATGTCTTTTTCTTTTTTTCCCTTTTGCCTTAGTATCTCACCAGCCGAGCGAAACATGATTAGTTTATCTCATGCCCGTACAGGAAGGTTCTTGCTTGTGTGGTTTGTGGTCGTTTAAAAAGTGCATTTCAAATTGCTTCTCGGAGTGGAAGTGTGGCTGATGTTCAATATGTTGCTCATCAGGTTAACCTCCTCTAAATCTTAGCCTCTACTTTCTCAATTTTGTTAGCATAACTTTACAGGTTCTAACCAACTATGTGATTTTGAGTTGTGCATGGGATCAGAGGTCCTTTAGCCCGTTTATTACACTAGAGCCTTTAACGCACTTCCTATTTGAGAAGGCATCATGTTTTGGTTTAGTTTGCGCCCGACTGGTTATTATTATCTGTCGCTCACTCAGCCAAACTGGGGTTTGTCATTTGATAATTACTTTTTTCCCACATGAAGATGTCATGTACCTTTGAATACGTTTGGGGGTCCATTTTCTGTGTTGAATTGGGAAATGCAGGTTTTGGGTGTTCAAAACAGACACCTAAACACAGTTTCCAAAATGGAAATTCTTCTCACCATTCCCAAGCCTCTAGGATAAAGCCGGGAGTCAGTGTCTTACCTTCCCTGTCAATGTTCTTGCAGGCACTTCATGCAAATGCACTTCCGGTGCTTGATATGTGTAAGCAATGGTTAGCTCAGTACATGTAAATCTGGCTGGAGGAATCTACATGTACTGCGGGCTTGCCTCTGCGTCTTTTGGTTGTGTGCTAGGTGTTTGAAGATTACAAGTTGAATAGTAGCTTCCGGGGAAGCAGCGCATACCCAAGACCACTGCAAAAACAGTTTGTCTTGTTTCATTAAGCACTGTCTGATCCTAAATATAGTCGTAGCCTGCTACCTCTTCATAACCGAGTTTGGAAGACTAGCAGCGATAACACGATCACAAGGTCAATAATTTGATGCAGGCTCTGAGATTGGGACCACTTGATTGTCAAAGACGATGATAAAAAGTTGAGGCACAGTGTAAATTTGCTTCTGTTAGTCGATAGGTGAAAGTTTTGAGGCAGACTGTAAATTTGCTTCTGTGGTCACGTGATTTTAACATATAATGTTTATTTTATGATTTCAGTCAGTTTGTTGGGATTCCAGGGATTGGCGTCGCAGCTCACTAGCTATTGTACCTGCATATACAAAACTGATTCAGTAAAAAGCAAGCACAATGATCATAAAAAATGTCTGGTTGTTTTTCTTAAATCCATCTGGCATCAGAACCATAAACTGATTGCATTTTGTGCCTAATAGCTTGGGTCGAAAATCAATTTACTTAAATATCACAGACTTCCACAGGTGTTTGGCAAAAGCATTGATTGCATGTTGAAATGAAGAATGCAATCAACATTCAGATCCTTTAATTTTTATTTTTTTTTAATGTTTATGATAGAATGTAAAAGTTTGCAAGACATTGACAAATGTTAGGTAGAATACAATGTCTAAATGTTTTGTGGCAACTTATTATTACTTTTAATTGAGTTTTACTCTTCATGTTCTCATTAAAAGGACCTTTCCAGTCATATGAATTTTTTTCCTAAATGTCTTTTGTTTTGATATTTTCTAACTAAACAATCTCCTTTAATTAGTAAACTTCGCTGAAAATAATCTTAAAATTTGAAGGTATTAACTATTTTTTTTCATGACTATTTATAATAAATGAAATGAAAAGGAGTACAAGCCTACAAGGGATTATTACAGGTAACGTGAGCATGACTGTCCTATAGGATATTACATCGGCACCCGAGTACATCAATGCACTTATGCACCAATTTACAAATTCATAATAAAAGATGAACGAGTATCTGAACAATGGAAAATTGGCTGATTGGCGAGAAAATTAAAAATAAGATAAACCCATTAAAAAAGGATAAAAGATGAAAAATAAAAGAGGATGACGGTATTTTCAATCTTTTAAGTCATTGTAAATCACCCCCAGATGGGAATAAGTAAACAACTAAACATGACTCCGATAATCAGCCTTTTCTAGCTTTTTGTATATTATGAACGTTCCAAACGAGGTTATCTTTTTGGCCAGATACGATATAAACTACGTACTCCTCCGGTCCTTAATATAAAAACATTTAACTAATTTGATTAGATTAAAGAAGTTGGGTCTTAGTTAATTAAGGACCAGAGGAGTATAACTCATTCTATTACGAAAATCCCTCCCAAGCTCCTTATCATTGTTCATTGTTATCGCCAAAGACTTCAACAATGACAATCCCTCTGGTTCATTGAGTCAATTACGCCAATAAGGCACAACAAGGCACCATTACCAATGCCAGTCAGACGTCGTTCGAGTGATGGAATCAGAAAGTGGGCACCAGTTTGAGGCAGCCTGAAACCAGCATTTGGCGCCAACATTCTTGGTCAGTTACCTAAGCCTTAGAAAATATATGTTATAGCTCCCTTTGATCGTAGATATCGGCAAATCAGCTTCTAAACATAGACTTGGCTGTTCTGATTTATCGATCCTTTACTAAACAAGAACAGAAGGCATTTTGGTTAGAAATTACAAGTCAATGAGTCACAATAAGGAACCACTACCGGTGCTAGTCAGAAGGACTTCCGGTGATGAAATCAGAAACTTGGCCTTGGCCTCAGTCTCCAGCGACCTCTTGTCAGCATTTGGCTCCGACATTGTTGATGATAATCGCCTAAACCTTAGAAAATATGTTATCGCTCCCTCTGATCATAGATATCGGTAAACTAAACTCTATCGCATTGACTTGGCCGTTCTCTGTGTCCTTTCCTATACAAGAACAGAACTAAAGCTTTTTCCTTCTTTAATGAAGGCTGTGGCAGACATTCCTTGTTGCATTGGTGGTATACTCAGCATGGGCATCTCCGTTCGAGCTGGCTTTCACAGAAGTGGCTGTTGGGTCATTGTGGCCCGTTGATCTACTCGTCGATGCCTTCTTCGCCGTTGATATAGTCCTAACTTTCTTTGTAGCTTACTTGGACAAATCAACCTATCTCCTCGTTGATGACCACAAGAAGATCGCCATCAGGTGTGTTTATGTGTGTGTGTGTGTGTGTGTGTGTGTGTGTGTGTATGCTTTGACAATCTATTAAAATATGATGCAAAAGTCTACATGGGGCAAGTTTGTAATTGAGCCTTCAAATGACAGACTAAAAAGCAGTGACAGATACATTTGATTGTGTTGTTGGTACTCACAAGATTGTGGCGTCTTCACTTCAACAGGTACATGAGAAAGTTTCATTTTCCCATGGACGTGGCAGCAACTCTGCCATTTCTGCAGATATACCAAATCCAAAAGGGCAGAACATATGAAGGCGAAGTCTTTGGTTTCCTAAATATGCTCAGGCTTTGGCGATTAAGGCGTGTTAGCCAACTTTTTGCAAGGTACATACCTAAAACCGAAGTTGAAAATCTATCAGTTTGATGCTTTGACAGCTAAATTACGAGCGATCAGGATCCATTGTCCCTACAAAGCATTAGAAGTATTGTCGGAGCATTGAGTGGGGTGTGCACGCGCGCCTGCGAGGAAAAGATCTCCCTGACAGATGACCAAATCAATCCTCTACCCCTTCTCTACTTCTAAACAAATCAACTCATTAACACTAGAACCAGTTACTGTGTCATCAAGGTAACCTTAATCGATGGCCGAATTATTAGTGTCTGTGCGTGTGCTTGTGAGTTGGGGGGGGGGGACTTCAGAAGCATTTCTGAACAAATTTACCGGGGAAGTACAGAGAAATCACTCAACTGGACGAGCTCTTGAAAGTAATGAAAACCGGACAGGCTCTTAGGGTGACTATCGCTACCTATTTTTACAAGCGTAATCGAAACAAATTTTTTCTGCAGGCTAGAGAAAGACATACGAATTAGTTACTCGGCCACAAGATTTTGCAAACTTATATGCGTGTAGTATCTTCTACACCATCTTTGATCCTAATAATCACCCACTGCCTCATTATACAAGTTCACTAATGCTTCAGTTTTCGTTGTTTTATCCGCAGGCAACGCTATTTGTAGTGCACTTCGCAGCCTGCATGTATTATTGGATGGCTGCCCACAACAAGACACCTGAGAACACGTGGATTGGGAAGCCGGTGCACGATTTCGAATACAGGAGCGTCTGGCTGAGATACAAGTATGCCATGTATTGGTCTATGGTCACTCTTACCACTGTAGGCTACGGGGATTTTTATGCTGTGAATATGGGCGAGAAAATCTTCACTATTTTATATATGCTATTTAACATCGGCTTCAGTGCATATATAATTGGAAACATAACAACTCTGGTCGTCCGGGTCACTGTCCGAACTTATACCATGGTACGTCTATTTAAATATTACTCCTCCAGTTCTTAATATTAAAATCTAATTAACTAATTTGGATAGATTAAAAATACTATTAAATTAATTAATTTGATTTTTTTTTTAAAACATCTTAATCATCTTTTTTAATTTCTTTCCTTCCCTTCCTACCTGATTATTGTTGAAAAAATATCTTTTTTTTACCAAAGTTGAAAAAATATCAATGAGATTAATTTAACTAAAAACTAATAAAGATATAAAATAAGTCTTATATATAATACCAACATCAACTCTCAAATGTAAGTCCTAATTAAAGACCTGAGGAGTATTGTATCATATGATCGATGAATGAGAGTCATATTATGTGATTGTTATTGTATTTGTGAGTTTCAGCGTACAATGTGTTACGGTGCACGTGACAGATCACAAATGAACATGAATGTCTGTCTCGTGTTTCTTAAATGTGGTTTATGTGATGTTAAGATTAGAGTATGTGAACCATATAATATGGGGGTGAAAATGGGTTATATGGGTTAGATTAGGTTTTAGAAATTACTGAATTTAAAATAAAAAAAAGGGGGGGGCTTTTATTTTTGGGTCTGAAAAAAAAATTTAGAGTTGGCGGATTGGTTCGTCTAACTGCCAACCCACACTATCTGGGTTGGGTTTGTAAAACTCCAACCGACATATCACCCAAACGATTCGCAGTGACCCATATTCCGACCAGTAATTTCTAATTGCCGCCTTGATAGGCAACACAAACTATCACTCGGGTCTTCAAATTTATGGCCATACCAAAAATAACATTATTTACCCTCTGCTTTGTAGAGGGATGCCATCAATCAAGCACTAACATACGCAAGCAAAAATAGACTCCCAAAAGGCTTGAAAGAGCAAATGCTATCACACATTCATTTGAAGTTTAAAACAGAAGAGGTACAGCAAGAAAGGGTACTACAGGAACTGCCCAAGTGTATTAGGTTGAGTATTGCTCAGCATCTTTTCCGGGAAATAGTTGAAAGTGCATATTTATTTAAAGGAGTCTCTGATCATTTTATCACCCAACTGGTAAAAAGTTTTTCTTCTCTTAAAGCTAATAATAAAAAGGAGTCTGATTATGTCAAAAGCAACTAATTGACGGCGGCACTTGATAACTCAGGTGTCAGAAATCAAAGCAGAATATTACCCACCTAAGGTTGACATTATCTTGCAAAACGAGATGCCGTCATATTTCTATATTTTGGCATCTGGAGCAGTGGTAAAGCAGTTCTCTCTCTCTCTCTCTCTCTCTCTCTCTCTCTCTCTCTTACAGTTCAGTCCTGTAGTAGTCTAAAATGCAATACTAACCACGGAGCCGTGTGGTGAGCACAGAGCGAACTATTCTTTCGCCTTTTACTGAAGTCTAAAATGCAATGCTTAACTGTTTTTAATTGCAGGATGTAATAATCAACAAGAATGGAACTGAACAGGTAGGACGGAATCTCACGGACAACTGTTTTCCTCAAAGGAACGCTGTTATCCATAGTTATGGTCAAAACGTGTACTCCTGCTCCTAGTGACTTGGCAATAGTGACATATAAGCCTTTAAAAAAACCGCTGAGAAAATTCAAAACTGGCATCCTTATTTTCAAGATGAAATATTCTCCCACCGTTTGACTGAACTTGTTAAGTTATTGCAGCTATTGTTGAAGGTAGGATACGAAGCGATTGCAGGAGAAATAGCGGTCATGTTTAATATCCCCCAACCTTTCACAGTGAGATGTAGGAGGCTTTCCCAAGTCATCCGAATTAGCCATGATCATTTCAAGCAAATAATGCAACCATACAGTGATGACGGGAAAGCAATTATCACCAACTTCAATCAGGTTTCACAATTCAGACATTTCATATGTTTCTTTTTCTTTTAGAATTTTGCACGTGTCATTTATCACTCAAGCTTACCATTATACTCATCATAGATGCCATATGCATTCTTCAAGTTTGCAGTAGTTTGGGACGAAGGATGTATGCATCTATTTATTCAAACATGAAAGTAGAAATAACCCATATCCCCTCAACTTAGTGAAGGAACATTTACTTATATATGGATCTTAAGTGTCGGTAATAGAACAGGCATCTCCTATGTCAGATTCTATCTCAATTCCCAACTCATCTGTTTATTTTTGCTGATTCATACCTCAGTACTTGAAGGGCTTAAAAAAGAGGGTGCGAGACGAAATTCCTTGCCTGACAGAATTGTTGAGCGGCCTTCATGTTGAGGTATATCTGCATTTTTTACCGCACCGATAATCAATTTCAGACCCCCTGCACATGAATATATTATTCTATGGTGCAGGAAAGTATAATAGAATGATGATGATATCGTACAGACGTAAATGAATCAGGTCATACATTATATGATTTAGCATAATACAAGCCTGTGATGATCACTTCGCATTTCTTGCAGCAGGTAACACTAGAACAAGATGTATATCATGAAGGTTCAAATTATCATGAAGATAAGCCATATAAACAAGGTAACCTTAATTTTGTACATTGAAGACCACAAGACATGTTAATCTTAGAGCCTACAGTGAGCAGACAACGTGCAGAGCCATTCGAGACCAGAACCAATGGACGCTTAATGGTTCAGCAAAACAGCGCTCCAGAAACATTGATATGCACCTCTGTGTGTGCACACCCGCGCATTTAGTAACCCCCCCCCCCTAAAAAAAAAAAAAACTGCAGTGGAGGATCACTTCAAATCTAAGCCGCCAGGCTGCATTTAGAAGATCTAGGTTTAATATTTTATAAAGATATTACTACCTCTGGTCCTTAATATTAGAGCTGGTTTGACTTTTAATTTAGTTCTAAATATAAGACTACAATCTATTTTGTCGCTCATATTTAACCATTTTTCCAAAGTAGTCTATATAGCAATTACACATGTTAAATATTTCATCAACGTAGTTCTGGCTCATACACATGATTAGCAAAGATATTTTAGAAAAAACAACACCTATTTGTTACTAATAACTAATTTAACAAACTTTCTTAATCTACTCAAATTAGTCAACTAGCTCTTATATTAAAGACCGGATGTAGTATTAGAATAAAAATGATGAACTAGTATTATTAGATGGACCTTTGCACGTTATTGGTAAAACTCTGCTACTGTTTTGCAGGAAAGAGAGGAAATTCTAATCCATCGCCAAGCCTCCCACTTAGAGTGAAAATCCATGGACATCATCCTAAAGAGAACAAAATGGAAAATCAAACCCCCCAAAAGCTCATACTTCTCCCAGATACAATGGAAGAACTATTCATATTAGCAGGTACATCTACATTCACGGAATTTTATATATAATTGACTCTAGAAGAAGATTACATATGATTGCCATGTGTGCAAGGAGGGGTTTAATACAAAATGAAATTAAAAAAACCCAAACAATATCAATATAAAATACAAAAATCCATAGAAAGGCACATTATTCACAATAGTACAACTTATTTTTCAAACCCTGCAGTGTAGGGGGTCCATCTAGTTAGCGTAAAGTAAAACATAAAAAGGTGAGTATGAATATGAAAGACTTCTTTGATTTCATTCTATGATTAGACATTAGTTTGAAGTTTCATAAAAGGCCAGGTTGCAATTTTTTAGAGCCTTTTTAAGGCAACGAGTCGGACTTGATATGAGCTACTTCACAGAGCATATCCAGGTTAACCAACAAGTTAGTTTGATGAAAATTCATAGGCCACGCTTAAGCTCTATTCTTCTGATCATAGATCTTAGAATCAAACATAAGTATGGTGCAGCAGAATGCAATGACAAGATGAATCGTTGAACTGTGAGCGCAGAGAAGAAGTTTGGGAAAAGAGGAGGCAAGGTTCTTATGGCTGATGGCTCAGAAGTAGAAAAATTAAGCGTCTTAAGGGAGAATGATGAGTTGTATATCTTCTAAAGGTAAAATAAAGAAGTGACCAGAGGCTGATCTCTTTGCTATATTGCTATTTTAAGTGATGATACTAAGACAGCAAGTTTTGGCAATTTACCTGATACTCGATATTTGACAGGCAACACGATAATTATACTGTGTTATATTGAGAAGGAAAAATGCCTAAAGAGTAAGTAGATATTTTTCAATAAAAATCAGATCTCGAGTAAAGTTAATAATGATCAGCCAACTCTTGGTCATCATAAGCATGTTCTCCATTACACCTTGGGCTTCATTTGATACGGCAGCGGGGTCTAGCAGAACCATCGGAACTTATGAAAACAGCGAGTTACTGTCCCTTTGTTCAGGTAATATCCAAATCAAAGATTCAGCATAGTCAGTTAACCGAACTTATAGTCCATTGAAAGAACACCGCGTCACATGATATTGAAATAATGAGACATCTGTATTTAAGAAAAGAAGATGAAACAACTTCCCAGCATACAGTAGCATGAGCAATTATTTATCCATTTGCTTAGTTATCAATCTCCAGAACTCAAGAGCAAGATCGCAAGAAAATTTTGTAGTGGAGTCGAAGCAGTAGTTACAGTAATGGCGGGAAGGTTTGATGGAGAAGAACAAACAGCTAAGGACTCACCGTAGATATCTGTAGAAAAGTGTCGCTAGGAATCTGAAGTAGGTGCAGAGATCGCCATTGCTATACTTTGAAGCAATCATTGTAACCGTAGCGTAGAATGCCAAGGACGTCCCTCTCACTCAAGCCGAACGGAGGAAAGGGGAAAATTAGGCAGAAAGATGCAAAGAGCTAAGGCCTTTCCCGCCCAAAGTTTTTATGCTGTTTTTTTCATTCAATAATTTTTCTCACGATTTATTGGGTTTGGTGTAGTTCTTTTTTTTTCCCCTCCTTTTGCACATTTCGGAAAATTTTTATCATTCGGATTCAAAATAAGTTTGGTTTTTCAGAAAAATAATACTCCTCCAGTTCTTAATATAAGACCCATTTAACTAATTTGATTATATTAAGAAAATTAAGTAAGTTAGTTAATTATAAGAAAAGTGACACATTTTTCTTAAAACACCATAATCATTTTTCTTAATACCCTTCTCCCTCTTCTACTTGATTATGGTTAAGGGAGTATCCATAAGGGTAATTTAAAAAAAAGTGATAAATATAAAAAAAATGGGTCTTATATTTAGAATCAAATCCAACTCAAGAATTGGATCCTGTATTAAGGACCGGAAGAGTATCACAGAGATGTCTCTACTATTTTATAGTTTTTTTCATAATTTAATATCACATTTATTTGTATAAAATTGAGATAAAATTTTACTCACATAATCATTTGTATTTTATACATAGTAATTTTAAAAACTATTTTTAAATAATTTTATTACCATTACAGACAATCACTTAACTAGCCATGCCTTTGCGTTTGAAAGCATGTTCAATAAAGAGTTACTTCCCCAAAAATATGGCTTTTTGCTTTTCAAATATCTCTAATTCGTTTATAAAAATGGACGTGAATTCTCTACTCTATCCCAAAGAAAAAAAACACACGTACAGACGCTGTTTTCAAGATACGACCTGTAAATTAATCTAAAGTTATCATATTACAATGCATCAAACGGTAGAAGGCCTTTTCTCTTTAAATCACAAAGCAGAATTTATCAGTAACGGAAATTAATTTCTCTCCCGACAGTGTAAGTAAAATGTAGGTATCTCCTAACTCATGTTATTATAATTGGACTAATATGCAATAAGCGACGCAGCTAAAACCTAATTTAGGATCCGTTTGGTGTGAAAGAAATAAAAAGGAGGAGAGAAAGAAAATTTTAATGAATTTGATTTAAAAAATTGAAGAAATAGAGTTAAAAACTCTTAATTAATTTTTATTACTCTTTTATCTTATAATTTTTTTGTTAAGATTTTAAAACCTCACTTTTTCAATTTTTTAAATCAAACTTCTTAAATTTCCCCTCCCCTCCCGTCCATTTCCCTCATACCAAGCACATAAATAAATTATATATCTAATCTCATTAAAAAATATTCAAAATAATTAAAAAGTAAATCCAATATAGATATAATAAAAATATCCATTAATGCTCCATGTTCTCTATAGAAAATGTAGTAGTATATACCTATTTCATACTAGTAATTTATAACATAATTTTGGAATACAGTTTCTTTCATGTCTGCTCGTTTTCCCCCCTTTTCCTTCCAATTTTTATCAGGCGTAGACATGCGCCAACTGTAGTTTATAGAAACATGCATTAAAATGTTTTTTTAAAAAAAAAGGACCGGTTCTATCAATTTTAACCGTTTCAACTTTCAATACCCATTTTTCAAGGGTTTTCAAATTTTGAGCATGTTTATAATAGTTTATAAGTAACTCCTTAATTGCAATTTACATAATATAAAACAATAAAATAAGTATGTGAGAAAAATTTATCTCGACTTACATAAAACATGATATGACCTCGATCTTTATTTGCAATTTCAGTATAATTTCTTAAAAGCGGACATTCAATCTTAATTTAGTTTACAGAATACAATGTAAATCCCAGTTGTTTCAAATTATATAAATAAGTGCTTTTAGAGATCTAAAACATGACAAATAAAGCTTTTATCCTCAAACAAGCATGAACATGTGGGACTGTTTCAACAAGTCGAATGGTTATGTAGCTTTTAAAACTAAACTAATGCCCGGAAGTTGATAAATAATTTTTTTTATTAGAATCTAAAATCATGACTGCTTTACTTGAATAAAAAAGTGATTGTCACTTGGCCACCATACCCTGCAATTTCGGTTTTTTTTTTTAAACAAAAACAAAAAGAAAAAAAGTCCCAACCCATTCCCTGATCGGATGGTTGCTTGCCCCTGTAGTTTCGTTGGTAGCTTATCTCCGCCCTTTGGCTTGGACCACAATCATCATCTTTTTTTTTTTAAAAAAAAAAAGTCTCGGTACTGAAACGATGAAAAGCTGCACCACCGCATACCTACAATGACTGGGCACCGCCTGCGATAATCATGGTCGTCTGGCTCGGGCCCCCTTGCAAGGGGGGAAAATAACGCCGGTCAGTTCCAACTAACTTGCAAATTAGTCTCTATATCTCATCAGTCTATGAAAAACTACGCCGTTAAAAAATTGCAAACTGGGCTCTGTGCTAACCTATGAGTTTCATTCATGATTTTCATCGCACATAATCAATTTCTGTTTTTTTTTTGCATTTAAATATCCCCTGTAATACATGAATGAAAACTGGTCAAGTTCTAGTCCAAATTCCAGTTTATGCAAAATACTCAATTGCAGTGGTATATGTTATTACTTATTATCTAGACATCAGTATCAGTATTTGTGTATTTTACATATAGCGTAAAAATTATCTGAGAAAATGCTGGCAACAGAAAATTACCAGAGTAAAATACATACAGTGTAACCCTCACACACACATACACACACAATATTTAATGCTCGATAAATTTTATGATACAAGCGCGGAGGAGAAAATTATCACAGCTGAACCATGATTCATCTCCTGACCTGTTGTAAATTCACGGACTAAAGTAACCTTTTCACGTGACTGAAAACCACTGTGAAAGTCACATTACTTCATGCATGGGTTTTCTCTTTGATGGTCCTGAGATCATACTCCAACGTTTTCAGGTTCGTCACATTATTAATTTTCTCAAAAAAATATTCCTTCCGATCATTAATATAACTCATTTAACTATTAATTAGATTAGAAAATTAGGTAAGTTAGTTAATAAAAATACATTTTTCTAAAATACCATAATCATCTTTTTAATATCCCATATCCCTCTTCTACTTGACTATAGTCGAAGAAGTATCTATATATAATTTAGAGAAAATTGATAAATATAAAAAATAAGTCTTATATTTATGGAAAAAAAACAACTCAAGAACTAGTAATATATTAAGGACCGAGGAGAGTATTAAGACTTCAATTATGTTCTTATTAGTCCAAAATGTTAAACTTCCAGACATTTTGCGACATCATTCATTAGAACTCTGAGAAATAGAAATAAAAATACTATCAGTTACTTGTACATAATGTTTGAGTTAATATTTTTTTTGTTTTTTAAGCTTGCCTTCATTTTAATTTTTATCTTTTAAATGTGTTCAAATTTTTATTAAATTATGAGGATTAATATTTTAAATAAAAAACTTGAGAGACCAAAACCTATTATTTAAAATTAAAAGATCAAAATAGAAATAAATTTGAAGGATCAAAATTTGTATCATGGATAAAGAGCAATATTCTTTTCTTTTTTTTCCCCTGATATACAGATACAGATAAAGAGCAATATTCTAGAAGACAAAGGGGCCACGTGAAAATCTTTAACTGTGGCTGTTTTTTTCAACTTCAGTCGCGCATTGTGGTTAATTAATTCGCCGTGGGCCCCGGTGTTGACGTCTCCGTCGCCGAAGTTGAAGTTATCTTTTCCAAATTTTACTTATATTCCGGCCTCTTTGTTCTTTTCTTGTCTCATAAAGATAAGAGTAAAATACTCTATATTCTGCACTCATAAAAAAAAAATCATATATATTTTCTAATTATACAGGATGATAAGTTGTTTAATAATTTTGTTCACATTGTTCTCAAAGCTCTAATTTAAATTGCATGATTCCTATTTTCTTGTCTTATTCATGCAAAAAAATTTTAAAATATTATTAAACACGAAATATGAATACTCTTTTCAATAGGAATCTAAATATTGATTCCTAAGAAACTACTCATTTTACTAGATTTAACTCTTTTTTTTTTTATTATGCCGTCATTTCTGATATTAAATTCCTGTGCAGTAATACATAGCCCGTCAAATTTCTACAGAGCCAGTATCTTTTGTTTTTTAGCTCACACTGTCACACGCACAAAAATTTGCTTGACAATCACGTCAGAAAACCTATGCAAGTATTACGTAGCTGCTTAGTTTTCATAACCGGTATAGCATGTGACAATGCACAATCAGTTTCCATAAAACTTGAGATTTTACTTTAAATATCATCGAGTCATGAACAACTTTGCAATCTAACAATGTCATGGTTTCTATAAGCGGAAAATTGTGAGTTTGATTCCGTTTATGATTTCAGAGTATTAGTACTTAGCTTACTCATCTCATGAAAAAAAAAAAAATTGTTGAGTTGAGTAAATACAAGCTCCATTCCTGTACAATGCACGTGATCTCACACATTCATTTCTTGTGTTAGATATGTGTACAGTACAACACCATCCATTTATCGCCGCTAATCTTTAATTAGACTTGCTAGTAATCATATGATTAAACACACCCCTCACACGGGTCAAAAACTAGTGTGACTTTATTAGCCATTCACTTTTAAAAAGATAACAAAGATTACAACCAAAGGAAGTTTACGAGGGGAAACGTGCAATGAATAATTCGGGAGAAAAAAGAAAAGTTTAAAGACTGAGAGACGAGTCAAGGGCTGGGCAGGTGGCGTTGTTTACTCAGTCAAGCGAGTGTCCCCAGCACCTTTTGTAAAAATCACATGACCTATTACATTAAAATACAATAAATATTATTTATGTTCCACGTAATAAAATAAAAATGTTCTTCTTTCATGCATACTGGGAAGATAATTTTTAGGAAAGGTTTGACACCATTATTAATTGTTGAAAAAATAAATAAACACTCCATTAAAAGAAATTTGAAGACCTTTTTTTTTTTTCTCATAAAACTACTGCTTGAAATATAATTATTCCCAAAAAGGGTTGGTAAAAAACTGTTCAGAATTCATTAAAAAATTTCAATTCCGAGTAATAAAAACCAGTCATGATAAATTTTGGTGATAATCTATATCAATATAAATAAATTATCTGATATATAAATATTTTAATTTTAAAACATGAGTAATTTTGCTCACACTTCTGTCATTTTTCAGTTTTAACTTTAAAGTCACTCATGCGGTCCTAGTTTTGTCGTTTTGTGAACACCCCTGGGGGAAGAAAAGGGATTGATTCGGTGCCCTCTGTCTCCCTTTACATTTTTTATTCTGTTCCCTTTTCTTTTGACACATGTTTAACCAGCACGTTGCCACGTTTACCAAAAGGTCACGTAATTTTTTTAAACAAAAAATTCCATATTTTTTTTCAGTCCATAGTTAAACCAGATCATAATTAGAAGTTAAAATTTCAAACAAGATCCCTACATGTTTACTCGCAGCATTACTTGGGACATTGTTAACATAATATTTATATAATACGCTGAAGGTTTGTACATGAATTCGTGAACAATAAAAAGAAAATATTTTATGGCATAATTCAAATTAATGTGACATTTTTATTAAAAGCATCCTATATATATCGGTCCTTATATAGGATTCAATTGTTGAGTTGGTTTTGTTTTAAATATAATCATTATCATATATCAATTTTTCTAAATTACATGAATTCATAACAAGAAAAAAAAATTATTTTTTAGGAAAAACATGCATCTAATCAAATTAGCTAAATGAGTCTTATATAAGGATCAGCTTTTTTCATTATTTTCCGCTGCATACGAAGATTGACATACAGTTAACATATGATCAACCGACAAAGAATGCTACCATGACGAATACCGAAACAAACCCAAATGAAATTATCAACGAAAAAAACTTCCGAAGGAATATATCATTGAAATAGACTAATAGTCGAATACTGTAGCATTTAAAATGCGAGTGTGAATCGGATGCTTTAAAATAAAAATCAGAATGAGGAAAGAAACGCTTGATGTGGACAGAGGATTAACAGTTAATATATTTATTTAAAAATTACTTTTAATTTCCCAAAAAATAGAACATCAATGACCAAACACCTAAGATGTGTATAATCTTTCTGGAAGTTAGTTAAAACACAGTTGATAACAAATTATTTTCTCAAAAATATAACCATCCAAACCAAGTAACTTAACGAGTCAATCACAACCCTAATGCTCTACCCCATCTATGATTGAGAATTAACTAGATATAAATTTCATGTACTGCATAAAATCTAAAATTATTTAAATCTATTGCTCATTTAGATGAAGTTTAAATAAGCAGATTCAATTTTGGATTTTTTTTTTTGGAATTACAGCACTATTTTTATTTTAAAATTTGTATTTATTAATCCAGTACCATTAAGGCGAAGATTAATTTTTAAAGAAAAAATAGTTGTTTTTTGAACAGTGTATGTACGTTATGTTTGTATTACGTTTTGCAATGAACAATGGTACGAAAATGGGAAAATTACAAAACAACATACAATTCTGTGGGCGGATTCAGGGCTGGATGTACAGTAGTCATTTGTTCCAGAGAAAGAGAGAGTATGTGTCAATTCTAGAGAGAAATGGGCCCAAAAAAAAAAAGATGGAGAGAGGGAGAATGGAGTATTTCAGAAGCTCACTGCTTCGCTGATTTTGAGGCATGCAAGAGAGTGTGAGAGAGGGGAGAGAGAAGGAGGAGTACTGCACAAGTTTCACAGACCCACATTTGTATTGCGTTTGGGCCTCTGCTCTGCAACATCAATCTCGCTGAAGTTTCCTGAGCTCTCTCGGAGCAACACCCAGGTGGGTTTGGGTTTTCCTCCGATTCTTTTATCGCTCGCGTTTTTGTTTCCTTTTGATAGTCAGTCTATGGATTTTCGACGTTTTTGCCCTCACTCGTACACATTTTCCCGATCAAGGGTTTCTTCTGCCTCCTAGCTTATTTGATTGTATCGCGTTGTGTTTTAATTTTGCCGGGGGGTTTTTTGAAGGTTTTGCCAAAAGCTTAGGCTGGTAACTATCAGATGTCATCGATCATATCGCGATGTCTGGTAAATCTGCTTATACATTTCTGATATATATTATTTGATTTTCAATCTGGGGTTTTCGTGTTGGTTCGATACTTTCCCCCACCTTCATCTCTTAAGATTTTGTGTCGAATATTTTTTAATTGGGGGAGCGATTGGGAGTGGCGCTAGCAATCTTCCGATGGTCCCTCTTCCCTTCCCCCTTTCATTTGGGATTTTTACTGTGAATGTCGTTTCTCCTTTGAGTGCTTTCTGTTTGAACTGACATTTCACCGTTTAATATGCGCTCCATAATTGCTTCTTCATTTACTTATTTTATTTTCTGAGAGATGGAACTACAGTTGCAATGTCAAGATTTTCCCTTGATTTTCTTACATGAATCTCACCATCATGATTTATGTATTCAAAGATTTAATCCTTTCTCAGCTGACCAAACATCATTATTTATTGATGCATTAGTTGCTTGATAATTGTTTATTCAAGTTGTGTGTTTTGCTTGGCAGGTGTTTTGAGATAATGTTGAGGAAGAGAACTAGGTCACTCCAGAAGGATCAAAACCTCATGGGTCATGTAGCAAATCCAGACGCTAATTCGGACTACTATTCTCAGTCTCACTCTCTGGGGAGAAACATCAAAAGCAATTCAATTTTCAATGTTCCTCGTGTGTTCGTAGGTCTGGGTCCTAAGGGCTTACTAGATTCTGATTCAGTTAGGAGCCCAACATCTCCACTTGATGTTAGGGTGCTGTCAAACTTAGGAAACGCAATTAGAACCCCAAGATCATCTACCCATGAGGGGAATCAAAGGAGCTGGGAATGCGGCAAAGTAGGCCTAAGCATAATAGATTCTTTGGACGATTGTGCTAAATTTTCGGGGAAAGTTCTCCGACCATCAGAGAGTAAGAATCTCAGTCCCAGTCCAAGAATGAGGGTGAAAATTCCAAATTGTCAAGCCTATACTGATTCTTTTGAGGCATCTAAATCCTTACCCAAGGATTTTTGTAAGCCTCCTTATAGCAAGAGTGGGTCTATTTCTGGCAAGGGTGAATCAAGAGTTCTCTTTGAAATTGGAGAAACCCGTCCAGAGATTGAGCCATTTGGGAAAAGTAGGTCTTGTTCTTTGGACTCCTGCAGTCCATTGAAAACCCTTTCTGGTTTAACTCATTCGAACATTGATTTGATCTCTGAGATTACCATGAAAAATATGATCCACCAAGTGGGCTCTCCTCCTCATTTTAACGGGGGAAGCCAGAACTCAAGCACCTTATCTCATACAGAATTCAATTCGAAACCTTCATCCATATGTACATCAAATGAATTTGTTGGTTCCCTATCAGCTGGTGAGATTGAACTTTCTGAGGACTACACATGTGTAATTTCCCGTGGTCCTAATCCAAAAACTACTCATATTTTTGGAGATTGCATCCTGGAAGGTCATCCTAATGTTTTTGGAAACCATTGTAAGAATCAAGAGGGGGATAATGGAGTGCTGCCCCATGTGGCCAACAGCTTACAAACTCCAAACCAATATCCCTCTAGTGACTTTTTGAGTGTCTGTTACCATTGTGACAAGAAACTGGAGGAGGGGAAAGATATTTATATATATAGGTAACGTTATCCAGTCACTGACTGTTGTGTCATTTCTGTTTCACTTCTGAATTAGTGTTAACTTGATGGATTTGATACCCAACCCTAGCTTCGATTGACCTTGCAGGGGTGAAAAAGCATTTTGCAGTTTAAGTTGCCGGGCTCTGGAGATCATGATTGATGAGGCACTCGAGAAGAAATCAAATCCATCTTCTGGAAATTCTTCTCCAAAACCAGAAAATAATGAGGAAGTTCCTCCGCCTGGCATTTTCACAGCCACCTAGAGGCTTTTTCTGCCATGCCCACCTTGACCCTGACAAGGGTGGATGCAGTTGATCATCTGTTCATAGAAGAGCTGTCTTGTGTGCATCAATCAGCAGCCATGGATGATCATTTTGTACATCACTGCGTTTGCCATTGGTGTTTCAGCTTTCATGCTCCTGGTGGATGATGGCTCTTGAACGGCTAGTTTTGGTTTTCATATAACTAGAGATATCATGTTGTCAAACTTGCTGATACTGGTAGCTTATTTTACCCCATGCAGAAAGGGTTGAAGCCGATTTTTCTGCCTTCCCCTTCTATTCAATTTAGCTTGCAATCTACATTACCTCTGCATTATGTTAAAAATCAATGTATACTATCCGGACCTGTTTTTTGACTGAAATCATACATGTGATTTTAGCAGGGTATAAACCTATTTCCTGGGAACAATGACTGAATCTTGGAAGTTTTGACGGATGTTTCTGTGAATTACAATTGACATGGATTTTATCCAATTTAACTTGTTGGAATGAGATTATGTGTTTCGCTTCAAGGCTAAAGGACCATCCATCGATGAACTGGATCGCGGTTGTTCATATCTAACTTGCTTAGATCCAAAGATTTAGATGTAACAGAAAGGGGGAACAAAAAAACTAGATGAATGTGATTCTAAATAAATATGGGCTTCCGTAGCATGCCGGTATGAACATCGGGCGTGCCTGTTGTCTCATAAATCAAAATTCTACCTCTGGTCTGGTGAATTAGCTGGTTTTCAGAGTCTATCTTCTGGTTGTTCGACGATCTCCTTGATTTATTTTGAGTTAAAGCTTGTTTCCGGCTTTCGGTATATTACTTCCACCGATCTGCTTTTAATTAAGAGTCACCGTATTACTTCTGATCCCTTCAAAGGCATGTCTCATTGAAGTATTCAAGTAATCACATCACGGAAAGGCAATTAGCTCAAACATGTTATGATTCCTTTAAGGACCTTTTAAATGCAAACACATGTTTCAGAAATCGACGCACGAATTTTTAGAGAGAGCAGTGATTAGTCGGTGGAAAGTGCATCCAAAAGTGAGCCCACGTTTTTCAAATGGGGATGAAGCCCTTCAAGGGACACAGAAAAGCGAAAAATATGGGTCATCATGATGACTCGTGAGTTTTGTTTACACGGGAAACGCGGGGTAATTGTAGCCATTTATTCATTCTCGTATTTACCATTCTAGTTGATTCGTGAATCTGGGTTACTTAATGGAGTAAAAAAGAAATGCTAGGATATGAAACAAAAATTTATTTTTAAAGTTGCAAAAATTTTAATTTCTGAACTAATAGTATTGTTAATCTCTCATCTCATATACGAGAAATTTAGAGAAAAATCATACTTCTGCATCCGCTCTTTAATATAAGATCTCGTTTGATTTTGATTTTGATTTTAAATATAAAATCCTATTCTATTTCATCTCTTATATTTATTTATTTATTTTTTTTTAAGATAGTCTTTTCAATAATAATAGTTCTGGTCAATAAACTTGACTAGTAAAAATATTTTAAGAAAGATAATACTTATTTATTATAAATAATTAACTTAACTTATTTTCTTAATCTACTCAAATTAGTCGATTAACTTTTATATTTAGAGCCAGAGGTATTATATGACTTATTTTTAATCCTCATTTCCTGATACTATATGACGTACTTATGAAAAGTAACGCGTTCAATTAAATTTCTTTAACTTGTTTTTTATGCGAAGTACTATAAGAAAGACTAATGTCATACTCTTTACTGTTCATGAGTTGGAAGATAAAGTTATAATAGCTCCGCTGGTTAATACTAATCTGGTACTTAATATAGGACTAATTATTAAATTCATTTTATTTTTAAATATAAAATTTACTTCTTATAATTACTAATTTTTTTAAAATTATCTTTATGAATAATCTCTCAACCATAATCAAATAAGTGAAGGAGGGTGGATATTGAAAAAAATGATTATGGTGTTTTAGTAAAAACATATCATATTTCTTATAATTAATTAATATACTTAACTTTCTTAATTTAATCAAATTAGTTAAAAAAAGTTTTATATTAAAGATTGGAGGAGTACAAGAGTTAAATAACCAATTTATGAATATTAAAAAAATTAATTAAATTAATTGTTTGTAATAAATATATATATTATTTTTTAAAACATATTCTTGTTAATCATATGTATTAGAATCATACTATTATGGAATATTTAATGTGTACAATCAGTATAGTGATTATTTTAAAAAATAAAAAAAATATAAAAGACAAAATGAATTAAGATATTATAATTAGAATAAAATTAAATCTTCAATAAACTCTTATATTAGGAACTGTATTTTACCATGAGATATTATTAATTAGTATAAGATAATTATATATATATATATATATATATATATAGATGGATATTACATTCGACCTCAATCTTGCCACTCAAACATTCCTCAAGTGAAAGTCTAATGCTCTGTCCCTTCGGGGACATCCGATGGAAAAGTTTGATACTACCCCGACGTCGAATATAAATAAGGAAAAAATTATTTTATTAAAATTTAAAAAACCTGTTTGATCATATCTTAAAAAAAATTTTCGTAACTATCCCCAATTTAACGGTTGAATTTTTACGTTGTATTTAATAATGATTATCCATTGCTAATGCAATTAATGCACTAGACATTAAACTTTCGATTTCTTTGTACAATCTTGGATCAACTCAAGTCCTAGAAGTGAGGAGTGCTCAGAAAGGATCTGCTTGGCCGATTATCCGCTGAATCGTTCCTCTTCCTTCCCATCCTCTTTTCATCCTTTACTGCCAAAAATAAACCCACTTATCCGTCAAATTATCTTCCGCATTTTTATTTCCACGAGTTCACGTAGTGAGGAAGAATGATGAAGCAAAGATCTACTTGGCAATACGTAGTCGCTGGAATAATTGGATTTATTTTTGATCGTAGATGAAATAAAGGTCGCCATTTCATCCTGCTATGTGTCGTCTTCTTTTAGGCTAATGAAATCCAATGCATTCTTCCCGTGCTCTAATCAGCGGTAACACCGGGGGATCTTCGCCAATTGGTTATAATCTTTTTAAAAATACCACTTATTCTCTTCAAATCAAAAGCTAATTTGTGATATCAGGACCATTAAAATTAAAATACTCTGTGACTACACTCTTTTGAGATTCGATTCGTTAATCACTTGCCATCTCGATCAGCTTATAAATTGGTCATCAAATTTTTAACGTCCAATAACCCAGTTTAGGTTTTCCCGAAGTCAAACACGCCGCCAGACTGTTTCGTCCAACAATTCATTCAATGTTTTTTTTGGCCACCACAATCCCTCCCCATCGGACTCAACGCCATTACGCCCCGTCGAAAGGATTTTCCCTCTTCGTTTCTTTCTTCGTTTCCAGTCTTGTTTTGGAAGGGGGATGATCACCCAAACCCAATAAAAGTTTACGACCATCACAGAATCAAAATAGTAATAACAGAGTTCATCAATCAGCTACGAAGTTTCAATAGATATCAAGCCATTAAAATTATCAACCACATAAAGCAAGTATCATTTAAAAGACTAATCATGGCAGTACATTATTTCAACGAACGCAGGTTGACAACGAAAACACAGATTGCAACGACGCTTTTCTCCCAGCTCAAGATAACACCACTAGCTGACCCCGCAATGGCAATGCCCCGACACGGAATCAAACATGGAGAACCAGGGTTCAGTTCTCTTGGCATGTGACTCGGCACAGTCGAAAGTAACCGGACAGTCAAAGATCCCCACACGTGGAATTCCTCGTACTCGATGAAGGACACACCCTCGTTGCCACTCCACCTCCCCAAAGCACAAGACTCAAGTGAACCCAAATGCAGTCTTGCCCTTACGTGACCAATAACACTTTTGCCACATCCTCAACCTCTGGTTTGTCGCGTGTTGTAGGATTTACAGTTCGAACACTTTTGAGCCACAACATGGAACTGAACGTGCGAAGTTTTCCCGCAATCATTGCAAAGGATCCATACCTGTTGAGAGCACTGTTATCAGTAAATCGCAATACAATAAGCGACCAACCTCTATTGAACCTCTAACTATCGTATACGCAAAAATAACAACCTAGCACGAGAAACCACAGGTCTTTGTATCTCAATGTAGATGATAAAGACGAAGACATAAATCAAGGGCCATATATTGGTACTGCAAGATTATGCATGTAATGCCATCACAATCTGAAAGAGGAAGGGAAAAGGTACACTGACCATTTTATTTTGGAATGGTTCAGGCATGGGAGTAGCAGCTATCTCCAGGTCAAACTTCTCCCAAACCTTCGACATATCACAGACTGACTTCGAGCAGAGTGGGCATGCGTACCTGATCCAGAATCAATAAATTAATCAAAAATCACATTAGTAATTTTTCAAACAAGGAACAAGGAGGAGACAAGAGCACCGTGACACTCACTGGAAATGTTCTCTCATTTCATTCAGGCAATTCTTGTGGATTGTATGCCCACAAGGCATAACGGTGACATCATTTATCGACTCAAATAAATACTGCAATCACCATTTTGAGGTGTGCATCAGTCAGCCTCCAGCGTTTAAACAATTGGCACAGGGATTCGAATCAACAAGCTAGGAATGTAACAAAGTGATACCTCAAAACAGACAGGGCAATCATGATGCATTGCTCCTTCCACACATGGGTGACTATTTTTCATCATGATAGAGTAGCAGCATCCTATTCAAAGAAACCATGCAATAAAACAGGTAAGAAATTTTTATCTGCTTGCCACTAAAAAGCATAGGGATTGAAGCTTACCACACTTGTAACAATGGAAGAAATTCTCACGTCCTCCAACTCTATCACAAGTAAAACACATAGGAGCATTAGTCTGTTTACACTTGGAACTGAAACAATCAATCTTACAATAAAAGCACCAGTTAAAGCATCTAACGCATTGTAATTTTGTTTTCACAAAATCCCACAACATCCCATATGCATCACAATATAAAGGGGTAACCAGGTTAGCAGTTTATACCTGCAAATCCCACAGCCATTGCAATGATACTGTTGCTTAGATATCTGTAACACACACAAAAACAAGATAGTAAATTCATCTAGCATGTGTACGTGACTTCCTGAAGATACTAACAATCATTATTTTCCACATCCAATAACTTACATCATCATCAAAGAGCTTGCATGTCTGACAAAAGTATTCTCCCATGCAAACACCACAGTTTATACAGTTCTGCCGCACCTGGAAGAAGAAGAAATTGGCTTAACAAAAACAGCAGTCAATGGGAGTAATATCTTAGTTTTAGTTTCAAGTAGCACAATGTCCATCACTTAAACATTTTA